CGATTATCGAGCTATTAACAAGCTCACGCTGAAGAACAAGTGGCCAATCCCCAATATTGGCGACTTGTTTGATCAACTCGGAGAAGCAAAGTGGTTCATGAAGCTTGATCTTCGCTCGGGGTACTATCAAGTGAGGATAGCCGAGGGGGACGAGGTGAAGACGGCATGTGTAACGAGGTATGGCTCATATGAGTTCTTAGTTATGCCTTTTGGTCTAACCAACGCTCTTGCTACTTTCTGCACCTTGATGAACCAAGTATTCAAGCCGTTCTTGGATTGCTTCGTGGTGGTGTATTTGGATGACATCGTGGTGTACAACAACACACTCGATGAACATGACGAGCACTTACGACAAGTGTTCCAAGTCCTTCGAGACAACGAGCTCTACGTCCAGAAGGAGAAGTGCACGTTTGCAGCCGCGTAGGTTCCTTTCCTCGGCCACATCATTGGAGGAGTCAAGCTAAAGATGGACGAAGCCAAGGTGGAGGCGATACAAGGATGGGAGCCACCAACGAGGTACCGAGTTACGATCATTCCTCGGTCTGGCCAACTATTATAGGAGATTGATCAAGGGATACTCCACTCTTGCAGCACCCTTGACGGATCCTCTAAGGAAGAATAAGGCTTGGTAATGGTCGGATCGGTGCCGCGAAGCATTTGAAGTCTTGAAGGATGCGGTGATGAAGGAGTCAGTGCTAGCACTTCCCGATCCAACCAAGGTGTATGAAGTGCAAACGGATGCTTCCGATTTTGCAATCGGTGGAGTGTTGATGCAAGAGGGACACCCAATTGCATTTGAGAGCTGCAAGCTCAATGAGGCCGAGAGGAGATATGCGGTGCAAGAGAAAGAGATGACGGCGGTGGTCCATTGTTTGAGAACGTGGATGCATTACTTGCTTGGGTCGAAGTTCGTTGTAAAGACGGACAATGTGGCGACGAGTTACTTCCTCACACAGAAGAAGCTCACGCCCAAGCAAGCAAGGTGGCAAGATTTCCTCGCGGAGTTCGACTTTGTGCTGGAGTACAAGCTGGGGAAAGCCAACTTTGTTGCCGATGCTCTTAGCCGAAAGAGCACACTTGCCGCCATCAGCCAGCCGCAATTCCCCTTGAAGGAACGGATTGAAGAAGTGGTCGAGTACATCAAGAAAGGGAAGACTCGATGGTTTTGGATGAAAGGAGGACTCATTGTGACTAAGGGCGAGCGAGTGTTCGTGCCGCGGTGGGACAACCTACGAAGGGAGATCATGAAGGAGTGCCACGACTCCAAGTAGGCTGGTCATCCCGGCTTTGAGCGCACACAAGTTCTCATCGAGGAGGCTTACTATTGGCCTCGCATGAAGGACGACGTGGAACTCTACGTCAAGACTTGTCTTGTTTGCCAGCAAGACAAGATGGAGCAGCGGAGTCCGATGGGCTTGTTGGAGCCATTACCCACTCCACAACGGCTTTGGGAAAGAGTTAGCATGGATTTCATCATCGGCCTTCCCAAAGTCGAAGGGTATGGTTCAATGATGGTCGTCGTCGACCGATTTTCGAAGTATGGCATCTTCATCGCAGGGCCCAAAGAGATGACGGCCGAGGATGCGGCCTGCTTGTTTTTCAAGCACGTTGTGAAGTATTGGAGCATCCCTGTTAGCATCATCAGCGATAGAGATGGCCGCTTCACCGACAAGTCTTGGAGGGAGTTGTTCAAGATGATGGGCTCCGATCTAAACTTCTCCACGAGCTTTCATCCTCAAATGGATGGGCAAACCGAGCGGGATAACGCTTTGGTGGAGGTCTACTTGAGGCATTACGTTAGTGCCAACCAGAAGGATTGGGTGAAGCTATTGGATGTAGCCCAATTCTCCTACAACTTACACCGAAGTGAAGCCACGAGCATGAGCCTGTTCGAGTTGGCTACCGGGCAACAGCCGTTGACACCTAATACGGTGACGACGGGGTACAAGGGCAACAACCCATCTGCCTACAAGTTTGCACGAGGATGGCACGAGAAGATGGAGTTGGTAAGTCTTATCTCGCTCGAGCAAAGAAGAAGATGAAGAAGTGGGCGGATAAGAAGCGGCGTCACTTGGAATTCGAGGAGGGAGACTTGGTGATGGTGAAGTTCTCCCCTCATCGATTCAAGCACCTAAAAAATGTGCACAAGGGGCTGCTGCGACGATATGAAGGGTCATATCCGATTGTGAAGCAGATTGGCACGATGGCGTACAAAGTCGAGTTGCCATCGCACTTGGAGATTCACCCCATCTTCCATGTGAGTCAATTGAAGCCATATCATGAAGACAAGGAAGACAGAGCGCGGAAGGAGTCTACGAGGGCACCAACTCTCGTCACCACAACACATGGGCACGAAGTGGAGGAGATCATGGCTCATCGTGTTGTGCCTAGGCGTGGTGTTCACCCAAGCTACGCGGAATATCTTGTCAAGTGGAAGGGGCGGCCAGAAAGCGACATCACATGGGAGAAGGAGCTTTCGCTATGGCGTCACAAAGACTTGATCGAGGCATTTCATGCGGAGTCTACGACGAGGGCGTCGTGAGATTAAGTGGGGGAGAATGTTACGCGGAAGATTCTAGAGCATTATGGAAGGATGTAGGTACATGCATGCATCTTGCGATTCATGCACCAATGTACATGTATCCCCCTTATCTATCTTTTATTCATGCACCTTATTAATTACATTCATGTATGGGGGGACTTCTAGGTTCGTTCATTTATGACGGCCATATACATTGTACTTAGTGGAGAGGATGCCTATATAAGCATCCCTCTCCCTCATTTGTCATTCATCCAGAAATAAGAGAACTTTCTATCTCTAGAGAATTTCCCAACTTGTGAGTTTGAGTGAATACGAGCAAGGCTGACTTAGCGCTCTAACGAGACTTGACTGCTAAGTGCCGCACGGCCAAGAGTTGGTCCATGACAGTTTCCATAGAGGTTCTACATAGGAGGTTTGTGTGTGGTTCTTGATAGGAATGCAAAATGGAGTGTAGTGTTGGAGTTAGTTCCTCAAAAAGAGAGCATTGGTCGATAAATGTTTAGGTGGCAAATGTTTTTACTCTCTAATACCCCCCTCAAAAAGAAAAAAGGTTAATACCTTATTATGACCTGAACTATGACCATGTAATCAACTTTGGCCCGTGGTTTGAGAAATTAACATCCTGACCTGAACTATGCAGCATATAGACAGAATTGGCATGGAGCGTGGTTTGACCGTTTGTTTGGATGGTCAACATCGTTGACCGTTAGTCAACTGTCCAGGTCACTGCCATGTCAGCAAAAAAAAATTATAATTTAATATTTTTTTATTTCCTTTATAAATATGAATAATAAATAAAAAATAAAAAAATTTCGGCCACCCATCCCCACCTTATCCCCTCGCCTTCTTTCCTTTTCGATCAAAACCCAAAAAAACCTAACCATTTTTTTTTTCCATCCAACCATTTCCCCTAGTATCCACTGCATCGCCACCAACGTTATCTTCCTCATATCCCCGACCAGAATCTAGGACCGGAGTCATCCTTCCCAAAGACAACCCCGTCGACCTAACGGAGTCGACCTCACCAAACCATCTTTCGGCATCGACGAATATGGAAAGAGATGAATGTTTCGTGGCAAAGGCTCGGATCTGGAAATCAATTATCGAGGGGAAGGGAGACAAATCGTCGATTTCGAATCGCAATTCGCGTCGGCGGCCCCTTGAAGCGCTTCGCGTGGGTCGAAGAGGACGGCGACGATGAATGGAAGCGGCCGCACTACAAAAAAGTGTGCCATTACTGACCAGAGGTTTCCGTCGATAAAGGCCAAATGTCTTCGCAAATGGATTTTTGCGACGCCATATGGTTGTCGCACGCCGTTCCAAATACGAGCATCACAAAACTTTCTTCATGACGAGCCGTCGTAAAAGGTGTTTTGCGACGGGTTGGGGTCATCTCTAATGCCTTTTCAAATTGACGACCTACATAGATTTGTTTTCGTGACGACAAAGAATCGTCGGGAAAATTAATAATCTCGTTAGTAATAAATTCTCATTGACGAAGATTGACGACATTGTTCGTTTTTTTGACGAGACATAGTCGTCGGTAATACTTTTTTTATGACGTTTTCTATTTAGGACGATACACCGTCTATATAATTAATAAATTCTTCGGTAATACATTTTTTTGGACAACATTTAATGGTATTTAGGACAATTGAACATCGTCACAAATATTATATTACGACGGACGAGGGATATCACAAAATAAGGATTCCAATATTTGTAACATTGCTAAATCTTGTCGAAAAAAATACTATTAGCGATTATATGTAGTTGTCACTAAATTATTTGGTTTGACAAAAAAATACAATTCGAGATGATATGTTCGCGAAAAACATAGTGTTTAATTAACTGCTTGCTCCACTTCTTCTTCTGAAAGTGAATAGTTGAAGCCTGCTTCATTGAAACGTGCATATAACGCATCCAATTCTTGTTTAGGAAACTGAGAGAATGTTGTCCAAAGACCATTGATATGTTGGTGGAAGATTTTGGTGATTTCATGAACAACCGATGGTGTGATTATCCTGAAAATGGAACAAGGAATTAGCAACGGACCTAAGCAGGAACGCATTGAAGAGAAATAAAAGAACCAACGGACCTTCGAATTTACGACCATGTCGTTTGCTAGAACTAAACAGCAAGATTGAATTAAATCTTGCAAGGGCCTGCGTTTGAGATTGATTTTTTGAGCAAGAGATTCTTCAAGCCGAAGCTAGACGTGGATGCCAGGGCGAGACTAATTCGATGGAATGAATGGAGGGTGTCATCAGTCCCACTGGATGCATCGCCGCCGGAGATGTTCGAGCAAGGGAAGAAGACGAAAAAGAAAGGAAGCGGCGGTGATTAGGGTTGAAATTTTAGGGTTAAGGAGCATACGTGCTCTGTAGGAATAAGACTTAATTCTTATTAAGAATATAATTGGGTTTATATACGGGTGGTCTTGAACTCTTGATTATAATATAAGGTTTGGTAGTCCAGTTCTGAGTAACCTGGAGGAGTTTCCTGTGCTGGAGATGGGGGTGTTGGAAAAAGGAAAGCAGGGTAAGAAGGGGCCAGGGCGCCCTGCCAAACCTAAGAATAAGAAATGATAGTGCTGGCTTGGAACATCAGGGGATTTAATCACCCCGCCAAGCAGAAGCAGGTTTTAGATGTAGTTAATCAGTATAATGTAGATGTTTTTGGAATTCTTGAAACAAGGGTCAAAGAAGAAAACTCAAAAAAGATTGTTAGCAATGTTTTTGGAAGGTGGGAGTTTGCTCACAATTATGAGTACTCAGATTTAGGCCGATTATGGGTGTTTTGGAAGAAGGATTTAGACTTTGTTGTGTTGGAGAGAACTGATCAGTTTGTTCATGGTGAAGTCAGGGGAGAAGTTTCAGCAAGGGTAACTTTTGTGTATGGTTCAAATGACGTAGTGGAGAGATCTAGAATGTATCGCCATCCAACTCTAAAACCTGATGCACTCCCATGGATGGTTCTTGGGGATTTTAATGCTATAAAGACTGTCTCTGAAGCCTCAAACAGCCCTAGCCCAAACAATAGCATGGAGTCTTTTGGAAACTGGATAGAAGACATGGAACTTGAAGATAGCAGATTTGAGGGGCCATGGTTCTCATGGACTAACAGGCAAGGGGGAAATCCCATTGCTCGGAGGATAGACAGGGTATTGGTCAATGCTAGTTGGTTAGCTGCATTCCCAAATTATGTGGTCAAACTGCTTCTTCCAGGGCTCTCGGATCACTGTGGAATGCTGGTAACTACTGACTCTCTTGTTTCTACCCTACCAAAGCCCTTTAAGTATTTCAAGCACTGGGAATCTCACCCTCAATACAAGCAACTCATAAAGGATGCGTGGGGGAAAACTCTTAAGGGCACTCCTATGTTTGTAGTATGTCAGAAGCTGAAGGAAGTAAAAAGAGGCCTGAAGAAATTAAATAGAGTGTTCTATTCTGAGATCTCAGAGAAGGTAAGGGAAATGAAAAAGAAGTTGGAGAACCTGCATCTGGTTGCTTTGTCCTCTCCTTCTGCTTCAAGTTTTCAGGACCTGAATGAGTGTCAAGCAGCTCTTAATATTTTACTTCTTGAGGAAGAATCCTTTTACAGACAAAAATCAAGGATGATTTGGGTGCAGACAGGGGATCTGAACACTGCTTTCTTTCATAATTCTGTAAAAGCAAGGCAATCTCGATCTACCATAAAGAAACTAGTAGCTGAGGATGGCACAATTCTTACAGAGGTTCAAGATATGAGTAGGGAAGCTGTTCGGTTTTATAAAAGGTTGTTGGGGACTAAGGATAAGGCAGTAAGAGCTGTTTCTAGTGACCTGCTCACTCAGTTGCTCACTCACCGTCTGTCTTCAGATCAGGGAGGCTCTTTGTGTACTCAAGTTTCCTATGAAGAAATAAAATCTGCCATGTTCTCAATGAATGGTGATAAATCCCCAGGCCCTGATGGGTTTACAGCGGGCTTTTTCCAGCATAATTGGGAGATAGTAGGGACTGATGTCTCAACAGCTATTATGGACTTCTTCAGGACAGGGAAGCTCCTCACAGAGGTAAACTCCACCTACCTGGCTCTTATACCTAAAATGCTAAATGCTGACTGCATGAAGCAGTTTAGGCCTATCTCCTGCTGTAACATCTTTTATAAGTGCATAGCTAAAGTCCTTGCTAACAGATTAAGAGAGGTTCTCCCCCTAGTTATAAGTCAAAACCAATTTGCCTTCATTAAAGGGAGACTCATTAATGATAACGTGTTGCTTGCTCATGAGATGGTTAGGCTTTATAACAGGAAATCTGTATCTCCTAGATGTGCTTTAAAGGTGGACATAATGAAGGCATTCGATAGTGTAGACTGGGACTTCTTGGAAACAGTTATGGGGGCAATGGGATTTCCTAGTCAGTTTGTAAAATGGATTAGTATATGCCTGCACAGTACCAAGCTCAGTGTTAGCTTTAATGGAGGTCTTTGTGGGTATTTCTCTTCAAAGAAGGGGCTGAGGCAAGGGGACCCTCTGTCCCCTTACCTTTTCACAATCTCAATGGAAGTATTATCTTGTATGTTGAATAGGGCCTATGTACTCAAAACCCTTCCCCCACACCCCCAAACACATAGGATAGCCCTATCCCACCTTTGTTTTGCGGATGACTTGCTCATTTTTACTAAAGGGACTTGTGAGGCAGTGGAGACCACAAAACAGATCCTAGACCTGTTCTATACTGTGTCAGGACTGAAATGCAATCCAACAAAAAGTGAAGTTTTCTGTGCTGGGATAGATGCTGAAACTAAGGATCAAATCACTATGAGAACTGGGTTTGTAGTAGGGGCACTTCCAGTACGATACTTCGGAGTCCCTCTGATTGCTGGGAAGTTAAATACTGCTGATTGTGCTGCTTTAGTTGAAAAAATAACTGCTCGAATTAAGGGTTGGAATGTCAGAACTCTCTCCTATGCTGGGAAACTGCAATTAGTTACAGCTGTTATTTCCAGTATAACGCAATATTGGATGGGGATTATTACCCTGCCTGTCAAGGTGATCAAGCAGGTTGAAAAACTCTGCTCTGATTTTCTTTGGAATGCTGAGGAGGAGGGAAAAAAGGCAAAGGTAAACTGGAAATATGTGGCTAGGCCAAAACAGGAGGGAGGTTTGGGGTTCAAGGATCTCAGAAGTTGGAATTCTGCCTGTCTTATCAGACATTTATGGGCACTGGCTTCAAATTCCTCCTCTCTATGGGCTCACTGGGTTCGTCAGTATCAGCTCACCTATACATCTATATGGGACATTCCATCTTCAATAAACTGTTCTTGGGCATGGAGGAAGGTCTTAATGCAAAGGGACTATGCAGAAAATCATCTCTCTGTTAGGCATTCTGAGGTTTATTGGGATGGCCAGCTTATGAGCAAGTACTCAGTAAAGAAATTTTGGGAGTCTCTTCGACCCAAATATGATAAGGTTCCTTGGTATGGATTAATCTGGAAATCTCTATGTACACCTAGAGACAAAGTTCTTGGGTGGCTTATTATCCTCAACAGGATCAGCACATTGGACAAGGTGCAGGCTTGGAATCCATCTGTTAACAACATATGTCCCCTATGTACAGCTACATCAGAGTCAAGAAGTCATTTGTTTTTTGATTGCCCTTATTCTCAAAAGGTCTTGTAGGCTGTCTTTCGCTCGAGATTCCAAATAGGAAGAAGCTGGGATGAGAACTTGGCGATTGCTTTAGGCCGGTTTAAAACAACTTCACCAAATTCTGACAGGGGCAGGCTGTTTTGGTTGACAGTGGTGAGTGAATTATGGCGAGAGCGGTGCCGAAGGTTGTATGGTAGTGAGACTCTAACAGAGGAACAGCTGCTGAAGAAACTGCAGCGGATGCTGCTTTTACTAAGGAGTGGTTTTCTTCAAGTTAGTTCAGTGGTCAGTGAGGCAGAGATAATCAGTATAGTGTAACATTTTGTTTGATTCTTGTTTTTTAGACAGGTTTGTTGTTGATTAGTTGCTGTAGTTGTAGCCAGGGTGTTTGCCACAGTCTCTGTAATCAGATAGTTTGTAGCTTGGTACCAGTTAGAATGGTGTTTTGCCATTCTTTCTTGATGAATACACAACTTATTCATCAAAAAAAAAAAACTAAAAAGTTCAACACAAGGCATACCAAGAAGTTATAAACTTCTAAGTATGCAAGGCTCTCATGTGAGTATATTATTTTATATTAATTAGTAATTAGTTAATCAATAAAATATATTTAATTATTAATTAGTATGTAACCTTTTCCAATATGTTTAGTTTTAATGTAGCTTAGAATGTATATATAGGTAACATAAGATTATTTGGGCTATAAGTGTTGCGTATAATAAATCAAATACGACACAATTTAATTGATGACTAAATTATGTTGCTTAAAGTACCTTTTAAGTAACATTTACAAAAAGTGTTGTCAGTAGCAATTTTAAGCAACACCTTTAATTAGTGTTGCAAACATAAAGTTGCAAAAAACCACTTTTTCCCGTAGTGACATCTCTAAATTCACTTCTATACATATACATGTCCAGATTTACTTATATATGCAAGTCATTTTGAGATCATCTTTAGCACAAATGTCGTAATTACTCTGAAATATAACTCCGACGGAGTCCTCTAGGTTATGCATGTCAGTTGGATGGTTTAATTATTTGTTGACTAAGCAACTTAGTTGGAAGCCAAGTCACCGCTCGTTTAAGTTTTTGGATGAGAATAGATAGAAATGACCATTTCGCTACACGTACAAAGCTGTATTACCGAATCAATTAACTAATAACTCCTTATTAACTACCTTCTTTCTTAATAGCCAATAGGATTGCTTTAAGCATATGCTTAAGCTTTTGGGCTTAAGCACAGGAACTCAGGCCCCGAATCAAGCAAAATGAAAAGGTTTGTAACCATCTTGTACAAAGTATATAAGTTTGTGACATTTTGTTATAATTATGCGCATTTCTAGAAAAAAACCTTGTTGCATCTTTAGACAATGTCTAAGCTTTGTACCAATGACATAACTTGTTTATGAATTATAACTGACGAAAGTGGAATAACGTCCCTAAAAGTAATTTCTAATGACAAAATTGACATGCCCTTGCTAATATTTTGTCACTAATGACAATCTTTTCCAATGACGTGTATACATTTTCGCAAACTCAATGTTTTGACGAAGCATTACCGACGACCATATTTTATTCTTAGCAGATAACTATGACACGTACTTTTCCCTCCAAAAAGTAGAGTTAATGACAGAGATTCTGGTCTTTACCGACGACGTTTAGGCTTTGTCGCAAATATATAACTTGTTGATGAATTATTATTGGTGCAAGTGGAATGTCGTCCATAAAAGTCATTTTCAGCGACGAAATTGATCCACCCTCGTTAATTTATTGTCAATAATGGTAGTATTTTCCGACGACATGTAGGCTTTGTCACAAAATCAATATTTTGAAAAAATATTACTGACGATCAAATTTTATTCGTAGCAGATAACCATGACGCCAATTTTTTCCCTCCAAAAAGTATAGTTAGTGACAAAGATTCTTATCTTTATCGACGACGTCAATGCTTTGTCACAAATATATAACTTGTTGACAAAATATTATTGACGAAAGTGGAATGTCGTCCCTAAAAGTCATTTTTAGCGACGAAATTGACCCGCCATCGCTAATTTTTGTCACTAATGACACGCTTTTTTGTAGTGCCGGTAGGAGACGATTGGTGGGTTCTGAATCGCCAATGGGAGATGAGCGGAGGAAGAGGGAGATGAGGAAGGCGAGAATCGAAGGGGCTGAAAATTCTCCAGATTCAGGCCAGATTCTTCTGGGTTCCAAGTATTGGACTCAAATAGGAGGTTCCTGTGGTGGCGACGGTGGTTTCTTCTATGTTTTCCGATCATCTTTTTTTTTTTTAAGTGAGCATCCATTTTTTCTTTGTTTATGGGTTTCTGACTTTCCGGGGAAGATAAATGTGGATTTGGGGAGAAGACAAAGGGGGAGGGGCAAAGGCAGAGGCAGAAGGATGAAGAAGAATAATGGTTAGGGTTTTTTGGGTTCTGATCGAAAAGGAAAGAAGGCGAGGGTATAAGGTGGGGATGGGTGGCCGAATTTTTTTTATTATTTTTTCTTTATTATTCAATTTTATAAATGAAATAAAAAGAACAAAGAAATTATAATTTTTATTTGCTGACATGGCAGTGACCTGGACAGTTGACTAACGGCCAACGGTGTTGACCGTCCAAACAAACGGTCAAACCACGGTCAGGCCAATTTTGTCTATATGTTGCATAGTTTAGGCCAGGATGTTAATTTCTCAAACCATGGGCCAAAGTTGATTACACGGTCATAGTTCAGGCCATAATAAGGTATTAAGCCTAGGTTGTGAGTTACTATTCATTAGTTGCTCTCACACTCGTCCAATTGGAAGTGGGGAAGTTCCAAGTTGTTTCTTTTACCCCACTCTCCATTTTATAACCTTTGTGTTTAGCTATTGTTTACTAGTTTTACATCTATTGAACCCAAACACAAGGGTATCCTAACTTGAGCCCAAGGCCGTTACCACAAGTTTTGTATCAGGACCGAGCTTCATCCTCTTCAGTGTTTTTTTATTATCTTCTTTTCCTTTTCTTACCATCATCACAATTGAACCCAAGTACTAATTCATACATAAAAGTCTTTCGATATGGTCAAAGCGACTTGAAACTGACTTTAGTATTTATGAATTTCTCTTTTTTTCTTTTGGTTGGGAAGTTAATATATTAATATATAAAAGCCTAGGTTTTGAGTTACGATTCATTAGTTGTTCTCACACTCTTCCAATTACAAGTGGGGAAGTTCCAAGTTGCTTCTTTTACCCCACTCTCCATTTTATAACCTTTGTGTTTAGCTATTGTTCACTAGGTTTACATCTATTGAACCAAAACACAAGGGTATCCTAACTTTAATCCAAGGCCGCTACCACGAGTTTTGTATCGGGACCGAGTTTCATCCTCTTTAGTGTTTTTTTTTTATATTCTTTTCCTTTTTGTTGACCATCATCACAATTGAACCCAAGTATTAATTAATATATAAAAGTCTTTCGATTTGGTCAAAGAGACTTGAAACTGACTTTAGTATTTATGAATTTCTCTTTTTTCTTTTGGTTGGGAAGACAATTAAACCCGAATCTAAGGTATTAACGATTGTTGTATTGTGAGAGAGTTTTATCCGCTTTTGTAGTTGGCGGGTAGAACCAAGTATTAATTTGTTAAAAAATTGGTCAAAGCGAGTTAACATGTTGTTGACCAGTTTTAGATCGAAAGCGAGGTTTGTGTGCTTTGATGTTTTTTTATTTCTCATTTTCCGTTTCTATGAGAATGACAATTGAACTCTGATCCATTGTTGACGAGCTTCGTATCTAGAGCGAGTTTTATGCGCTTTTGTAATTGACATGCTGGATAAATCGTGAATTTGTTAAAACTGGGTCGACCCAATCAAAGCGAGTTGAACGTAGTGTTGAGAGTTTAGCGACGTGAGTGAGTTTTATCCACTTTAGTATTTTTTTTATCTTTTTCCTTTTGGTTCAGAATGACAATTGAGTCCAAATGCATGAGTATCCAACTTAATTCGACCCGACCAAAGCGACTTGAACCTGGTGTTTACAAGTTTTCGGCGGGAGCGAGTTTAATCTGTTTTTGTAATTGACGGGTTGTGTTAGGTGTGAATTTGCTCGAAACTCGGTTCCACCAGGTCAAAGCAAGTTGTACCTGGTGTTGACGACTTTTGAGTCGGTAGCGAGTTTTACTTTTAGTGTTTTTCATTTCGCCTTTTTCTTTTGTTTGAGAAAGACAATTGAACCCAAATCCATGGGCATCCAACCTAATTTGACCCGACCAATGCAAGTTGAATCTCTTCAAACCTGCAATCAGCCCCAAATTTTCATAAACGAGAACCATGATTACCTCAAACCTAAAAAAATAGCCAAAAAATTACGACTATATAACCTTAAAACTATTACTCTTTAAAATATTTATTTTATGATATGCAAAGCGATAGCGAGCGGGCTATTACTATTACTAATTGTCAGGTCGACGTACGTCGTGTTGTTCAACTGTTGACCGCGCTCATCCCTACCAATATCCAGTAAAACTTATCCAAATTCGCTCTGTTCAAATTATCCCCTAGCCACTTCCCCCTACCGGCCCTTGAGCTCACCCCCTGCACCACCCACCGTTATCACCCCTGTGTTCACGAAGCTCCCGATCCCCACAATGCTAATGTAGGCCGCGGCGCCCATGCTCCGCATTGACACTGGCATCTGGTCGTAGAACAACTCCTGTAGCCCAACGATGGTGAAGGCATCTATCGGACATGCCGCTGATGGCGTACTGCGCCTGGACTCGACGAGGACCGATGCGCTAGCTGGAGCAGGGTAATCCCGGACGGGTGGCCGGTGATGTGGCGTCGAACGAAAGGGACGAAGATGCGATCGTAATCGTAAAAGGGGACGGTGATTAATTAGGATGGTGAGGCCAATGAGGCTGTGGGTGGGATGATTAAGGAGCGTTGCATGGTGCTTGCTTGACGTACAAGGTGTGGTTTTGGGAGAGGACAACATGCAGGATAGCCAGATTGGGATGAGGGCGTGTAAGGAAGTGGTTAAGTACCATATACGGGCCTGTATAAGATCCAACATAACCTTCTCCCAACAACTCGAGTTATTGGGACGAACTGGTTTATGACATGGTACCAGAGCTGGTTTGTCCTTGAGGTCACGTGTTCAAGTCCTCACGACCCCCAATATGAACCGTTGTCTTCAAGCACATGGTATGGCGGGCCTGTGCAAACTTCAAGCCCATGGGTCGGCTTTCGTTTGAGGGGGCGTGTAAGGAAGTGGTTAAGTACCATACACGGGCCTGTATAAGATCCAGCATAACCTTCTCCCAACAACTCGAGTTATTGGGACCAACTAGTTTACGACAGGGCGGAGAACCAACTTCACTTCTTCCACTTGGTTCACAGTGCACAAGCGCCATAGGTTACGACCCTGGGGTGACGTGGCCGTGCACGGAGCATCAATTATAGCACCTCTCTCCAAGAACCTGTTCGATTACATTGTAACATTATCAAGAGTGAAGTTTTTTAATGTATATATTGTGTGACAAAGCACAACAAATAAATGCCACGTAAATAAATTATTTTTTCGCCAAAATTTATTGATTAACAAAATAATATTTTTCACACAAGGTAATTAGTTTCGTTGCTCAATTTCATCAGCCACTCATGATTGCTAAAATCACAAATTTATCTAACATTTAATAATAATAAAAAAAACTAAGTTTACTTCTTGCAGTACTATATATGTGTGCCATCAAACTCTTTCTAGCTATGATCTCCTTGGGGTGATCCAAAAGTTTGCATGAAGTTGAGCAATCCAATAATTTCTCCACTATATATCCATCAAAAAGAAATAATTTTCTTTGGTAAGTATCATACTTGGTCAGTTCACAATATAAAAAAAAAAAATGATTGAGTTGCTAGGTTCACCGAATCAAATCTAATGTACGTGTCATGAATGAACTGCCCCTCAGTCAATAGTTAATTCTTTCTTCCCACTACCAAGTAAGGCTTGGTGCATAGACTTTGACGAAATTCTCATTTACAGGGCCCATCAACCCTTTTTTTTTTTTTTGAGGGAACCCATCAACCCAATTTTGCTACAACATTTTGCACTAACCTACCAAATTACATTTTCTTTTATATATATTTTAATTCTAATTCTAACTCTAACTCTAATTCTAATTCTAACTCTAACTCTAATTCTAATTCGTCACGCTACTCTACCAACATTTGTCACAGTATTCATGCGTCACAACACAGTTGTACAACAGAATCTATCCGTCTTTTCCGGACCCAAGGGAGGAGAATGTATACATGTAGACTATATATGAGTAATTGATATTGGCCTAACCTTTTTCTGCTCAATTTCAACACAGCCATTTAAGACGAGAGCTGACATGTATTTTTATATAATGGAATGCACTTGGTCGCAAACAGAGTGAGTGACGGCGGGTGAGGTCAATTTTTATTATTATTGGATATATATAACTCAGTGGAAACTGGAAATTAAATTGGTTTTTTTTATAATGATGAAGAACTTTATTAAATGAAAACAAAAAAGAGTACAAGACAGAGACCCACGAGCAGTGGGCCAAGAAAGAATAGAAAGGCAGCAGCTACAAAAGCCACAACACTGTCAAAAGACCAAAGAAGAAAACGAAAAGATCGAAGTAGAGAAAAGAAGCGTGAAGAAGCACAGGAGCCTATCACCCAACAGTAGCCCCCCAAATCCTGAATCCATCCTGAATGAAGCGCCCCCCTTGCTGTTCGTCAATCTTCTTATGGTTGTTAGGGCTGGAAATCGGCACGGTATCGGTATCTCAATACCAAATACCGAAATCCCGAATACGGAATTACACTCTAAAATCAATCCCAATCCCAATCCCTAAATAATTTCGGTATCCCAATCCCAATCCCTAAATATTTCGGTATCCCATTCGGTACCTCGGTATCCCAATCGGTATTATCAAACACAAAATTAATTACCTTTGTAATTAATAATTAAATATATAAATTAGATTTTATTGTTTGATTTAGGACAAAATGACTAAGCAAAGAGTTTTGAGTTTCCTAGAGCTAATATCTCAAGTTTTTGTAATTATTCATCTTTAATTTGACGAATTTGAGGTTGAGAGACGACTAATACTAGTGTGAAATAGTGATGGAATGATCTATGTATAATTAAATGACACTCTTGGTAGTTGATGGCCGCCTAGTAGTGAATGAGAGCGTCTAGTTCAGAGGATAAATTACGCACTAGCTTATATTTGGTATTGATCGGTATTTGGTTATCCCTATCCCAATTCCGTAATCCCTAATACCAAATAACAATTGAAATTCATTCCCAATCCCAATCCCACAAAATAATACGTGTATTCGGTAATACCAAATATAGACAAATTCGATACGATATTCGGTATATCCAAAATACCGATACCAAACTTCCCGCCCTAATTATTGTAGTCATTATCATAACATAAGACTTAACAGATAGTCATACCTGAACTGAGTCGTCCAACCCAATCTCGCCTTCCTACGCTTGTTCCCATTAGTCTCTACATCTGACCCCTCCTCCTCTTCCTCCTCCTCCTCGTGACACATGCTGCACTCGCCTTGTGTTGCGTCCACGCGCCACTTCCTCGCGGCGGCCACCAACACCTGTGCCAGCGGAGTGTACGGGCTTCCGATGGGGGCCTGTTTCCGGTATGTCTTCATCCCCATCAAGAACAACACCAGCGCCACCGCAGGCCACTCGCCGGTATTCCAGACCCACTGTCCATCCAACATTGTCCTGCGTCCATATATCTAATTATTTATTTGTATTTACAAACGTTACTTATTAATAATAACGGCATCTTTCATCAATAGATTTTTTGTATGAATAATGTGCAAAATACATATATTATTTGAATATGGTAACATTGTAGTCTAATCCAATATTGGGAGATTACAAGAGAGATACATTGCTCATAAGTAAGAAATCGACCATAATTAACAATAAACTTTTCGATTTGAAACAGAAGAATTATTATTGTAAGTACTCTAAAGTTAAACGTGCTTATTGTGAAGCAATGCAAAGAAGTCACCTTCATATATATATATATATATATATATATATATATATATATATATGGGTGGTTCTATAGTACACCAGGCAATCTCCACTGTGTGCGTCCATCTCAACGGCCAGAATAAATGTGGTAATTTATTTTTTAATCCCACAAAACAAGAACCCGCATTAATCCTGACCATTGAGATGGACGTGGACGGTGGAGATTGTTGGTGTACGACATACACCAATATATGTCTGGTGTACGATAGAAGTCATCATATATATATGGCGAGTTCTTTGGTACCCAGGGTGAAATTCGGGGTATCACATACCTTGAGTATGAAAACGCTATCCAGATCTTGACTTGACTGATCTTTCGGACATGATACTATACTATAACCCTTAAAAATCAAAATCTAGGTCTTAATTCTCTAAATCATATACCCCAATATCAATTTAATTAGAAACAAAAATCGACGGTTATGATTCGTCCAAATATAGGCAAAAAATGAATGCATCATCGTAGGGTTATAGTTTAAGATTTAGATAATTAGGACCTAGGGTTCACTTATTAAGGGTTAGAGTATAGTAACAGGTCGAAAAATTCTGCTAATTCGAGGTTTAGAGAGCGTTTTCATACTCAAGGTATGCGGTACCCAGGATTTCACTAGGGGTACCGTAGAAGCCACCATATATATATATATATATGGTGGCTACTTCGGTGCACTCACTTTTTTGGGTGCACTGAACGAACCCACTTTTTTGTTTAATCTCAACCGTTGAACACATCTAACGGTTACAATAATTTGCTTTGTTTATAATTAATTATTAACTAATTAACTATATTATATTTATTAAAACAATTTATACTTAATGATAATTGCAACTTGGCCCCGTCATTACACCTGCTTCTTCCCTGGTTCTTCTCTCCTCTTCTCCGAACCCTCTTGTTCCTCCCACCCAACAGAGACCACTAAAAAAATCAGTTTCCCCATTCGATTTCCAGTTATCGAGGTGAAGTGTTGCTTTGCATCTCCGTCGCGGCAAAAGGAAAACAAAAAACACAGATTATTTGACTACTCAAGGCTGGCTCTGTCCCTGATCTATTGGCCATCCTCCCGACTTCCAAAAATCGCTCTGCAGTCCCTAGGCAATCAATCGTTGCCGGCGATAGGACTTGTGTTCGCGAAACCCAGATGCCCAGAAACCCAGAAACTCTTCGACGAGAGCAATTGAGGACCTGGACTGGATCGACTGGATGAGCTGGATGTAACCGAGAAGAATCGCTGGGCGACGCGAGTAGCTGGACCTCACAAGGTGCTCTGAGGTACTCTAGAGCTCGAGATCCATTTGGGCCTGTGGCCCAGATTGGGTCCAAGCCCGAAGCATTCTAACTATGCACTATCCGGGGGTTACAAAGAAAAGTGAATCGTGCCCGCGAAGATCATCAAAATTGTCCATTTTTCAATTTTCCCCAACCCGCCATCGCCCCGATTTCAAGGGTACGCCGTAGCCAGTCAGCCTAAGCCATTCCCGGCCAAGTAGGAAAGGTTTCCATTCTATTTAAGCAGATCAAGGCGGAGCGGAGCAGTTCGGCAATCAATATCCAAGTCGTAAATCTCCTGTCCACAATTCCGTTGCGGCGATAAACTAAAGTTGGTTCCGCTTATTGCCCGCTGTTGGCAATCAATTCTAGGTTTTTGGCAATCTCAATCTTGTGTCCTGACCAACTTTAGTTTAAGTGGAATGACCCAGTCGCCGACACCACCACTTTCGCGATTGATCGAGTGTGTTTGCCGTCCACAGTAGAATTGGGACTGAATCTCACCTGGCATTCCAATTCAGTTCCGACTTGCTGCTTCTTCACGTATCTGGGATTGGGAGTCTTCAAAGGTAAGAAACGCACCTTGCGTTTTTCCTTCCGGTGTGTGTGAACTGCTCCTGAATTTATTTCTTGGTTTCCCTCTGATTTAGTGATTTTTTAGCATGGGGCTTTGTTGATATATGGTACTGTCTCTTCCTCTCTCTATTTTAGGGTATTTTTAGTCTCAAAGGAGTAAACATTGCCCTCGTTGGGCTTTGTGATTCGTTCGTGTTTCTCTCTTTTCGTTTATTTTTGGAATTATGAAGTATTGAAGTTGCTGATTGCACATAAATTATTTTGTTTTTGGCTGTAAAATAGGGCCATTCTCATATTGGTTTTGCCTTTCACATTGGCAAAGTTGTGTATTCTGCTCGTTGGTTTGTAATGTAGACAAACCCAGTGTTCCAGTTTTTTCTTTGTGCTGTTCGTTGGGAAACGTGATGATGATATAAAGAGGAGAGTAGGGTGGCGGCCAAGTTGGAGGAATGATGGCCTGTGATGATGAGAATGAGAATCATGATAACGTTAAAAAAAAAATACCAGTCTTTTGAGATAGATATTTCCATGTTATATTCAAGCAAACAAGCAGGTCTTAATATGTGACCTGGTAGCAATGATTTCTGATGGTTTTGAAGTCAGAGTTCTCTTACACTGGATGTCTTCCTTTTCTGTCGTTTGTCCTACCTATAACACATAAAGGTTCTGTCTTTACTTGTACATGATTTTTATGTAGCTTTTCTCTTAACTACAACGCAATCATTGAAACCATATTGGCTTTTGAGGAAAAAACAAAATAAGTTGAAACTGGAAGATGGAACCCACCAACAGTACTGCACCGACAAGGGAAAGGTTAGTCATCCGTAAATGTGATTTTATATTATCAACAGATCGGCTCACTTTAATAGCCATTGTTATTTCATTTTTTACAGGAATGACCTTAGGGTAGGGCCAAATGTGGAGGAGACCTTTACTGAAATGGAAAAAGGAGTAGAAGTTGAACATGGTCGTGTGAATGAAGAGGGAGAAGGAACCGCACAATCTGTGGCAAATGAAAATGGGGAAGAAGAAGAGACAGAACAATCTATTTACGTTGACGATGTGGATGAAGAAGAAACCGAACAATCTATTCATGTTGAGGAAGAAGAATGGGAAAATTTATCGAAGTTGAAGGCTACTGATGTCTACAAAATGACTTTTGGTAGTTTGCAGGATGGTGAAGCTTTCTATAGGAGATTTTCCAGAGTAATTGGGTTTGCAACTAGAAAGAGTAATACTCGGTGTGATAAAAATAAAGAAATCGTGTCGCGCAAGTGGGTTTGTTCTGGTGCAGGTTTCAGAATAAACAAAACTACAGACATAAAAATAGAACCAAGGGTAGTAACGAGGTTTGGTTGTGAAGCTTATATGCTTATCACTTTGAAGAAGAAGAAGAAGGACATGAGATGGCATGTTACTCGGTTTAGAAATGGGCATAATCATCAATTAGCTCCCTACCATCAAGTTCATCACCTTAGATCACACCGTGAGTTGAGTAAAGCAGATGCATCACTTGTCTCAAGTTTGAAATCTGGCGGGTTGAGGCCCTGTCAAATCATGAATGTTGTGTCCAATGCAGCTGGTGGGTATGCTAATGTGGGGTATACGAGGCAAGACGTATATAACTATATCGATAGGTGCCAAAAAGAAAACATCAGCAACGGTGATGCTACAGCTGCACTGAGTTACTTGAGTTGTAAAAGCTACAATGACAATGGGTTTTTAATGAAGTTCAAAGTTGGTGATGACTCGAGACTGGAGAAGTTATTTTGGGCGGATAGCATAAGCAGGCTAGACTTTGGATGCTTCGGTGATGTGTTATCGTTTGACACTACATACAAGAAAAATGCGTACAATATGCCTCTAGTGATATTCTCAGGTATATTATTAGAATTACAAGTTTTTTTGTTTTTTGAAATATTGTGATGCTTTAATTTCAATCTACATATGTTTGTTCAATAATGTAAAAAGTTCGGTAATCTAATTAATTCATTACTAAAATTATTGTGTTGACTTTAATTTGACATTACATTTTTCGTTTGTAGGTATAAATCATCACAACAACACGTGTGTGTTAGCATGTGCACTCTTGAACAATGAAAATGAAGAATCCTATAATTGGGTGTTAGAAGCCTTCGTGGAAGCAATGGGTAAGAAGCCTAATGTCGTTGTCACAGATGGAGATAAAGCAATGGCGAATGCTGTTAGTAAGGTTTTCCCTGATGCAACCCATCGTTTGTGCTCATGGCATCTGTTTGGTAATGCAAAGGACCATGTGAAGGATAAGAATTTTCTTTTCTCGTTCAAGAAATGCATGTTTGCTGATTGTGGGATTGAGGAGTTTGAAGAGAGGTGGAGGTCATTGATCACCAAGTTTTCAGTTGAGGACAATACCTGGATTGGAAACACTTATGAGAAACGGCGAGAGTGGGCAACTGCATACTTAAGAGATAAGTTTTTTGCTAACGTCCGGACGACATCTCGTTGTGAAGGGCTCAATTCATTCATTAAGAAGTACGTTAGTTGTCAGCATAATCTCCTGGAGTTTGTGAATGATTTTGATCGAGCATTGCGGCATTTCAAAGAGAATGAGGTTAAAGCAGACTTCAAGTCCAACTATGGAACTCCTGAGCTAAGAAACACATGTTTGAGATCTCTCGAAATAAGTGGTGCTAGTGTTTACTCAAGGGAGGCATTTTTTACATTTCGGGAGCAGCTCGAAGCATCTAATGGATGCATTATGACCAGATCTTTTGAAAGATCTTCTCACCGTGTCTATGAGATGACAATGTATGAAGACTCCGAGGTTGTCATAGAAGTTACATATCAACCAACCACATCAGAAATGGAGTGCAGCTGTTACAAGTTTCGTAGTACCGGTATGCTCTGTGCACACATGATTTATGTATTACGGGAGCAGAGAGTGAAAGAGTTGCTTTCGGAGTTGGTTTTGCCGAGGTGGAGAAAAGACCCAAAAGGTACTATGGAAAAACTTCAAAGAAATGACACTCCATCGGAGGAAGAAGAACGCATATGGAGATCTGGCATTATACAATACCACAACTTACAATTGACATCCTTAGCTGCCGAATCTCCAAGTATGTTCAAAGTTGCTCGTGCAGAGATTTCAGCATTGTGTGCGAAATTGAAGGGAATGAGTACTCTTAGTAAAGGTGCTTCCTCAGAGCCTGCTGAAGATGATCACGGTGATGCATCTGAACGTTATAAAGATGTTAAAGATCCGATAAAGACACGATTTAAAGGTGGTCGGCTGACTAAGAACAAGAAGGGGAAGGTCAACAAATCGAGACAATGTGGCCATTGTGGTGCTTTTGGTCATTATGCCTCAACTTGTAAAAATCCTCCAAAAAATTGGACGAACAGTTCGAGTGAGCAAGTTAGAAACAAGAGAACAGAAAAGGTTGAGGAAGAGGACGAGCTTGAAAATGAGGTCGAGGAGGACCAGGACGACGAGGAAGAGGAAGTGGACGCGGATGACTCTCAGTATGACGACGAGGATGGGGATGATGATGAAGAGGAGGAGGACGGCGATGACGACGGCGATGCTTGAAGTAAGTAATATATCTTTTGCCAGTGGTATCTTTCGGTCAATATCAATTGAGCAATGGTTTAGCTTTTCATCTATCTTTTTTCCTTTCTTGGACGCTATCTGCTATATAGGATTCTTTCGTTCAAAGTAGTATATTCAAGGATCCAATACCTGAAGCACTCACGTTAAAAGTAGTGTTTTCAAGAATATAGGTATGCTTATAGTGGTTATAATGTTATTCATTTCAGGTAATGCAATCAAATGGAACTATCCCCCTACGTGTGTCTCTAAATTCTGGAACTGAAAGCAAAAGCATCTAGCATAGATATGCTACTTTGAATTATGTAATATGTACTCTAGCTCGCAAATTCTTGGAAATTTCGTAGTTAATTAGCTGGTGGACAAACTTTGATCAATCGGATCTAGCACTCTTAGTTATTTATTTGGTCATGCTTTGAAATTGGTTCATGAACGCCCATGAGCAGTATTGGACCAGTTATGTTTAAAACCTTTTTCTAATAAGGTGATAGTCTATTTGATTATAGCATGTCGACAACATTTCTATTGAATTTTTCCACCTTTTCATCACACAAAATTTTGATATTTGGAAATTTTACTGACATTTTCTTCCATTTGCGTGAGTAAACAATCATGGGGCCAAAACAAAACTTCATTCAAGTTGAACTTCTCTCTTTTTACAACCATTACATTTGGGTAGTGTTAAAATTAGAAGCTTGATTAAGAATTTCGTGTTAGATAACTCATTGATCATATTCATGATATCTGAGTGGGACATCAATGGAAACTTAATAAAATGATATAAATTACAACACCCATCGAGGCGCAGAGTGTGGGTAAAAAAAACCTAGGGGTCGTTTGGATGGATCTTTTCCAAAATGAGGCAATTTGGTACAAAAGTCTCATTTTGGAAAATGAGTTAATTGGGTGAGGAAATTTACACAAATTGTGCCGTTTGGAATGGATAGTGGGATTGGAAAATGTAGGTGAGTCATTCTTGGCGATTTACCAATTTACCCTACCCACCCACCCACTATCACAATCCACATACATAATAGCTTCTTCCTCACCCCCTCTTCTCACCCACCAATTTCCTCTTCTTCTCCCCCCCCCCCCCCCCCCCCCCCCCCCTACTCGTTTTCCGACCACAGATGCCAACTCCAGCTTTCGAATGTCCTCTTGGACAAAGTCAAGCGATGCCACGATTGGATTAACGCTCTCCTGTTGGATTAAATCTAGAATTAGGTCGATTAGAGGAGTGGAAGGACTCTGGCTATGGATGTAAATTTGGGATAGGTTCGATTTGGGAGATGATCTCGATGAGGGTGAGGGAGACGTCACCATCGACTTCAAGGAAAGCGCTGAGAAAGCTCCTGAGTAGTGAGCACAAGGAATGGCATCCCGCTGCTGTGCACAAGCATTAAATGGCGATTTCTGTTTTTCTTCTTCTTCTTCTTCTTCTTCTTCTTCTTCTTCTCGAACTCCACAGGCAACAAACCCAGTATTCCTCTCCATTTATTTGTTTCCTCTTTGGAATCAATTATTATTGTTGCATGTCGGAAAACCATAGCTTATCGTCGATGATGGGTTGGTCTTTATTGGTTCCTCAGCTTCACCATTAAACGAAAGAGAAGGCAGAGAAGGCCAAGAAATGGAAAAAAGAAAGAAGAGGAAAGAGAAAGAAAAGGGGTTATATTGGGAAAGGGGAAGGATAAAACGAGACAATTGCAATTGTCTACCCCCACCCAGGTAATTGCAATTGCTCCATAACGGAACAATCTGAATTCCCCCATGTACAATTGTCTCGTTCTCATTTTATTTTGCCAAATGGGTCAATTTGTCTCAATTGTCTCAAAATGGGTCAATTGGGTACAATTGCTCCATCATATTGCTTCATCCAAGAGACCCCCTAATAAAATTGTAAACGATAGTGTTATGTATGAATGGCAGGCGACCAGCCTAGTGGTTTAAGATGCTGACTTAATTTAGTAACATGGAATGGTAGCGGGTTCAATCCCCCATAGAGCCTTTAGGTTTATTTTATTTGTTTTTGTTTTCCTCTCAATTTGCACCAACCAAATCTGATTCCCTGTGGGTGTTCTCAGCAACCTAGTAAAATTGTAAACGACAGTTTTATGTATGAATGGTAGGCGACCAGCCTAGTGGTTTAATATGCTGACTTAATTTAGTAACATGGAATGGTAGCGCGTTCAATCCCCCATATAGCCTTTAGATTTTTTTTATTTGTTTTTGTTTTCCTCTCAATTCGCACCAACCAAATCTGATTCCCTGTGGGTGTTCTCAGCAACCAAAACAGGTGTATGTCATGCTTTTATCCCTAGAATGCATCGAGAATGGGTCTTAAACTATTATCCTTATTTAAAAACACAAGGACAGTCAATTAAGCACCTGTAAACAGCTCCCAAGAACGACCCCCTGCACTCAATAATGTATAGCAGCAGGACACGGTTTACTTTCCCAGCAACATACACAGTCAATTCAGCACCTGTAAACAGCTCCCAAGAACAACCCCCTGCACTCAATAATGTATAACAGCAGGACACGGTTTACTTTCCCAGCAACATACACAAAGAAGAAATTGAAACGAACTGAGATGAAAAGAAGAGAAGATAGCTCTTTAGTTTCATCAAATCACATTAAAACATCCATGGGCAATATCATTCAGCTTAAACCCAGCAGTCTAAGCAAAGTAATAAAGCCTCATAACTTGGAACACTAATCCCCAACAACATACGAAATGAACAAGAGATTCCAATCCTCGTCAAACAGCTAATAATCCCAGCAACATACGAAATATCCTCCCAAAAAAAACCAGGCCAATTTTTTAAACACAACAAAATATTGATAAACATCTCACTCGCCTCAATTCATCCAGTAAGGCTTCTTCATGGGACCAGTTCTCTTGCTTTGTCAAGTAAGGCTGTCTTCTCATTCGGGGTGCAATCGATCAGTTCCAGCACCAACTTCAAACGTTCATCCTCACTATTGAACTGTCAAATTACAAATGAATTGATCAATGAAATTAGAAATCACAATAAATGGAGAATGAATCGATTTTATCAACTTACCCGTTTCCCCATGCACTTCGCTGTCTTTTTGTTCAAGGAGCGGCCACATTTCATCCAATTAATCACAAACATACCACAATCCCACCTGTACAAAGAACGTAGCTATACTAGTGAACTTATTCGAAAAAATGGTGTACACATGAAAACATTGCTATTCTACTTACGTATTGGGTTGCCGGGGAGCATTATTTGTTGGGTTGAACTCAAAAGCCAGAAATGAGCTAACGCCAAGGAACCAGCCAGCGCCGTCATCAACAAATAATAGATCCAAGGCTGCCAGCTGTAATTGCGTAAGTTAATGTTAGTACGATTTTATGTATTACCAGAGTCAGATCTCTACAAACTCTACTTACAATGTCCACCAACTTTTGATTAATTTCTGTCTTCTTAATGCATGACGGTAGAGAGTCCCAAATACAGTACTGTTGCATCTTCAGATTTACCACGCACAGCAAGAAATGGTTCCCCATGTATATGGGAATGAATATCTATACAAAAAGCATATAAAGAGCATTTTAACACAACATTAAACCCGACATTAAGTGTAATATACATAAAAATTCACAATGAAAAATACATACCGCCTCGCAGTCACGAATGTCAGTACAGTATAGAGTTTTCACGTGCTCTAAGCTGATGAAGCTTAGTAGGTCGTCTCTATTTCCAGAAGCTTTCGCCTAATCCAATAAGATGATCAGTCAAATGAAAATCTCAAAGGCACAAGCAAAATAAATTTCATACCGCAAATGTAACGGACAGAAAGGCGCATTCCCTTTTTGTTTTGTCCCTGTCTTCCCATGTCAACTTTTCGACAACAGTGTAAAGAATCTGTAGTTCACCAGATTAATTATAGATGGGTTGTGGTAGGTTACTTTGTAAATGTATATCAATGGACAAACATGCAGAACTTACCAACGTGCTCAGTGGAGATTTAGGTGCAAGGCTTAAAATATCCTCCCTAGTTAGAAAGGTGATAATTATCATGGCGATCTACTCATCACTAATGAACAAAGAAATAAGTCAAGTTAGAGTCAGAGAGACAAAAGTACTTAATAAATTGAAAAAGATTATAAAATAATTACCCCTCCCTCGTTGCCGGTACGGAATACATAGTCCACTAACATGCTGTCCTCGGGACTGACATGAATCCCCACTGTGAAAGGCCCAGCTCTACATTTTGTAGTCTTTTTCTTGGGTTTGGTAATATCCGAAAACGCTGGCACCTTCAATTTTCCACCCACAGAACGAGCACTTGCGCGTGCACGGCGTAGAGGTTTGCTATTTCCCTAAAATGTAATGATAATTAGGGTCAGCAAAGAAGGAAATAAAAAGCATACATAGCCGTGTAAAAGAAACTCACCCCGTCTGATTCTAAAGTCAAGTCGACATACTGGGGTTCCTTCTTTGTCTCAATGAACTTCTGAACCTCGGTCTTCACTGCATCCAGCAGATCTGTCTTCAGGTTTTTTATTGCATTGTTCACACAACGAACCTGTTTAGACAGATCCGCAACCTCATCACTCAGGGTACCCCTAAGTTCTGTAACTTCCGCTTCAAGCACTTCAGTCGTCTCTCTCAAAAGTTTACAATGCTCATAACTCCTCATTGTCAGATCCAATAAGTCCTTGGCTAGGTCATCGAAACGCCTATCAGTTTTTCTGAACATCACAGTCACTCCCTCGTAAACCTCTCTAATCAGATTCTCAACCTTCTCGGCATTCTCCTGCATCCACGAAAACAAATAATAAAGATTCGTACAAAAGACTCATTTTCCAGCACAGAAGTGAACATTGCTCGCATCATATTCAAATTTTTTATAATACATAAAATTTTAAAAGTTGCTGATCCGAAGCTCACCAATGTATTCTTCGAAGAATTCCCATTGAGGGCATTAGTTGAGTCACTACCCTTGTCCGCACCCCCCATGTTTCCAGTTACTATCCAACTACATAGTACACATTCACAAAAATACCATTACACACAAGACCAGCAAAAGGGGCAAAGGAAGAGCACAATAAACACTGAATTAATATACAGGGGAAACTTTAATGAGAATGAAGAAAGGAAGGGAACGTACTAGTTTGCACAACAGAAATACAAAGTTTAATTTACAAAAATATTCTTATTCACGAAAGAGTTTATACCCCCCACGCCAAAGAAACTGTAATCGCATTTGAGTTTGAAAAGGACTTCTACGGATCTGAAAATCTGGATGCATCTGCAATATCTCAATTCAAAATAAAAAAATAGATAAACTCTAAAATTTAAAATAGATCAAATCTTTATGTTTTCGCATTTGAGTTTCTGTAACTCACTAAAACAATTATTTAATTTGAAATTTGGTACTGCTACACTAAAATCGGACACAATGAAACAATAAATCCGCAAACCACATCACACAGACCTAATCCTCCTTCTTAACAGCTTAAGATGAAGAAAACGTTTTTGATTTGATAGGTAAAAGTTCACTAATATCAGTGTTGAGCAACTCACATGTTAAACAAAAGCCTTCAGGACACGTCTAATAATATCAGTGTTGGGCAACTCACAGGTAAAAGTTCACTAATATCAGTGTTGAGCAACTTTGTACAAAGAAGTTAGAAGGAAATAGCAGACTCGCAATTATAGTGCGGCCAAATGCACCAGCACTCACGTAGGCCCATGTGCCTGGAAGCATCCCGAGCCAGCTGCATTCGATGTTGAATCTAACTTAGTTATGACAAAACTACACAAGTTGAAGACGGAAAAAAGCCAAAAAGTCATAAGAATTTCAGTTCTTCCATTTATATGGTTTAGCTATCATAAGAACTAGAATTGAGTGGCAGAACAGCATACCTCCCCATAACATACGGAACGAAGACTGATGTCAATCCATACAAGTAATTTCCGAGGGATAATGGGAGCGAAGGGCTCAATCGAAGAAGCGTGACTACTCTGAAGCCATTTTCGCCAATTGCCTTGTCGATTGCAAGAAACTTCTTATTTCCTTCAACAAGTTTTAAGATTCTCTCGTGCGCAAAATACCTAGCAATTAGAAAAGCAATACTTGCTGCAACCTGAAATGGATGCAAAAGAATGTAAGGGAGTGCGAAAGTCTATAAACATGGTGATAGGACTTCAAGAGACGGACAAAATAAACCGACTTACTGTTCCACTTATTGAGACTATGATGGTGCCAATAAGAGGTCCGAAAAGAAGACCAGCCGACATCGTCAATGGGATAGCACCACAATCTTAAATCAGTTTCGGGAAATCATAGCTTGGGCTATTCATCTACCACAAGAATTTGGCCTCAGTATCCAGAACTTTAGAAAATGTCTATAAGGAATTATGCTAAATTTGGTGTTCAAATCATCACATGTATCGTGCATCTATCATATCAATAGCTACTAGTAATCATAGTTTGGGCCATTCATCTACCACAAGAACTTGATCTCAGTATGCAGAACTTCACAAAATGTCTACATGGAATTATAGGTATATGCTAAATTTGGTGTCCAAATCATCACATATATCGTGCATCTATCACATCAGTAGTTACTAGTATGAAGACCACGAAGAACTTCTCATAGATCTCACTGGATGCATGAAACTGAATTGAATTAAGGCCTAAATAAGAGAATGAGCACATACCTCCAATCCTACATATACTGCCACAAACAAAGCATATCCAGCTGGTCCATAGCCTGTTGACAGGAAAACCAAAAAACTTAATACGACAAAAGGCTTTCATTAATGAGTAGACGTGAAGAATTACTGAGAATCTTCCATGCCACACAATTTAGCAAAACATCAAACTGAATCGAGCAAGGAAAACCAAAACCAACAGATCAATAAAAGGGAAGGGAACTATAGGCAGACTGGAGATCGGAAGGTAATTTACATTGCAAACCAGTCCAAACCATTATCATGTTGCATTTCCTACTGTAAATATCCATCCTTGAAGTTATCAATAAAAATTCTACCTTCTGGCCAATGAAAGCTCGAATTCTTCAAAGAAAAATAACTAAACTGAAAGGGAACTGCAGCTGCCATCCATTTTCACTAGCTCAATACTGCAACTGAAAACGAGAATCGAAGGATAACTCTTGACGCAGTCCCCAGAATTTAGATCAACTGGCAACAAAAAGCATTCTCCACCCACTAGTTCAGGAATTCCCAAGAACTCCCCAATTCAAGAAAATTCCCTACAGTGACACTCTTGCATTCAACTACTGATTCACACCATGATGCACAAATTCTTCGAATCATAGAGCACTTCGAAGCAAGATGACTGATTGAAGCCAAAAATGACAAATAAATGAGATAGATGGAAGCGGAAACATGAAATCAGACTGTTGTAAGAGACTACGTTGGGGCCAGCCAGGTTCTTCAACACCAGATACGGGTAAGAGAACAAGACCCAGGTTGAGCTCAGCTCCGATTTGCCGATTTCCCAGGTAAGTGCCTTCTCCAACCTTGAGAACTCGAAGAGGTCTTTAAAGTACTCGACTCCCTCTCACGGTGACAGGATGGGTTAAATGCCATGCACCCCTGATACTCCAGCCTTAGGTAACCTAATTCGTCAGATTTGGATTGCCGATCCTACTTTAAGACCAACAAATCGACAAGTACTCTTCAAGTTTTACCCTAGATTCAGAATTGGGAAAAATCCCTAAATTCAACAAACCTTAATTTGTGCGATTTTCTTCCCAAATGGACTACATTCTTGACTTCATACCTTGGAAAGGGAGAGGCTACTCTTCGACGACAGGAGGAAGGACTTGTTGGCAATGGATCCTGGCGGTGACTGCTGATGATTGCCTGCGGGACGAGCCACCAAACTAACAGGCGGCGGTGCGGCTGGTTGGCGCGGCCGAGAGAGCATGGAGAGAAAGGGGCGATACCGTTGCGACCGCTGAGGTTGGCAGGAAGGGCGAACCACTAAAGAAATCGGCAGCGGGCGTTCGTCGATTAATGCGGGAGGGCGCAATGGAAGCAGAAGAATGGAGGACAGCTCGTGCTCCCTTGTCATTTTTTCCCAATTTTTCATTTCGCACAGGGATGAAGCCCGGATGTGGAGGGGGAATTTTTCCTCTTTTGCTTTTGGGTAAACACGAAAATGTGGAGGGAGTTTTTCACTTTTTTCCCTCCAATATTTTCATTATCTTTTTCGGTTCTAATACTTTCATTACCATATAATATACACATAACCCGCCTAAATTTGTTGACGGGTCGTGAAAATTTACTATACACATTTTTTAATTTGGACTGATGCGCCAAAATCTTGATTAATTGGTAGCACTTTTGTTTCGGAATTACGCCATCGTTTACAAACTGTATGGACCAATTTGATTAACCATCTAAATCGTACATCAAGTTGTATGTGCACCATCACATGTGTGGACAATCATGACAAGTGTGTATGAATGTCGACCGAAAGATACATTGATTCAACTCGAGTGGCTCAACCTCATAATCTATCCAATGATGTCTCTCTTTCTATAGCATTCATTGTGTCAAATGTAATACAAATCTAACTAACATCCTTTATAGCACACCCATGCTCGAAATAAAAAAGTTCGCATTATAGTTACGACTTATCTAAACCAAAAGTTTGGAGATTATCCAAGTACCAACGACGAGATTTAATGACAATAGAGGTCGCTTTCGCTGTGACGTCTTTACTGTTATGTCCACCCAAATTGATAACAACTCACTAAACCATGTTGGAAGCGTGCACCATGACCGATGTTGAAACAATGATCGTATCAGGCAATGACATTTAGCGAATGAAGCAGTATTGTGCATGTGGTAATGATAGTCTTTTGTACCAGAATCGAGGGTTCCTCTTTTATGAGTAATGGGTAAGAGGATCGAAACATGCAACTTAAAGACTCCACTCATACAAGGATGGATTGTGTTGAGCATAGAAAAGGTGGAATGGGCATTTGGTCATCTCTAGTATCAACGCCGCCGCTTTAAGAAACGTTTAATGAACCCGTCAATGGATGACCTACTTAGTCCCCGTCATTCTTGGCCTGAATGATGTACTCATTGTTTCATACTCAAAACCTATCACTTGATCTTCATATGAGTTAAATTAGCTTGATTACTTGTGAAATGGAGGAGGTTTAAGGGTGAAATGGAGGAGGTTTTGTAAGAACTTTGATGTTAAATCTGAGGGACGATCCATTTGGACCTCCTTTACTAAATACTAAACAAGTTAGTCGAGTAAGCTCGAGAATGTGACGTGAGAAAACATTAAGAAACATGGTTCATGTTTTTAAACGGGATGACTTCTTTGGGGTTGGTTGATTACGGGTATACTATCGAATTTATCCCAAACATACCGATCGATTTCTGATAGACCGTTAGTTACACATGTTTTCACCCCTGTTCTTACACCGTTTGAGATGTGGTTTCTCGTGTTTTAGACCGATTTCACGCTAGGTTGTACTTGTTTGTGATATTTCAGGTCCTGGCAAGTGAATGAAGGTTTAGGAGCGAGTTCGGGGTCGATTGGGCGAAGATCGGGCGCGAGACAAGTCACAAAGGAAGTCACACGGCCACACCCACAACCCACACGGCCGTGCAAGTGGCCAGTCTGGCCGTGTGGGATTCTGCGAGAGCAGACACGGGCTGCCCTGATGATCCACACGGCCGTGCAAGTGGCCGGGTTGGCCGTGCCACATTCTGCGAGAGCAAACACGGGCAAGAAGGGATATTCACACGGCCGTGCCAATCTCGCCGTGCAGAGAGCCTGGAATTCGAACTAAATGGAACGCAGCGTTTTGACTCACACGGGCAACTGGGTGAGCTGCACGGCCGTGCCACCCTGGCCGTGTGAGTCGGGATTTTCTCATTTTAAGCAGAATTTCAGCCACAATTCGGGGGGATTGGAGTTTTTGAGAGAGAGAACGATTTCTAGAGAGAGAAAGCGACCAAGAGTCTCCAAGTGCCCTAGATTGATCTTCAACACCATTGGAGGCCAGCTTGAGCTTGGAGAAGTGCCCATCAACGTCCAGAAGCAGGAATCCATCCTTCGCAGTATGAATTCCGTGTCTGATTCTGCTTTTGCTTTCTTCTCTATGGAGTAGTTCTCCCATTCATCTGGGTATGGAGAACCCTAGATTTGTATGTTAGGCTTTGATTGTATGAACCCAAGTACTGATTCTGTGATTGATTATATTAGATTGAGGTTTTAATGATTGAATGACTTGAATCCTGATCAAATTCCTGTTGTTTCTGCTTTAACCTAGAATGAGAATATCTGCCTAGGTTAATAGAGTATCCTTGATTGAAGGTAGGGAGTTGGTGACTTTAGTCGAGGAGCCAACTCACTATTCTGTACCGGATTTACCCCGGTAGTGGAGGTTTTGTTCTTAGGGCCTCAATCTGTCTACTCCAGTGGAGGTTAGTCGCCCGCTAGAGATTCAGATTGAGAGGGTCTGAAGACCTTTAGTCGAGACTTCAGACTGTTTAAGAACCTTCCGCAGTATAACTATCATAGAAACTGAACTTGGTAATTACAATCCGGCTTAACTGCAGTCTAGGGGGAACCATATCCGGGTGACCTCTTTAACTTGAATACAACCAGTTTACTTGCTTCGTTAGTTTGTTAGTTAGACTTGCATTCCAGTTTTATTGCTAGATAACAAGAACTCACTGAGTAGTCAGCAAATCTAGGACCCGGGTTGACATATAAACCTAACCCGCTATGCTACGCTTTAGGAAGTGGTTTCACTTGGCCAATTCCTGGAGTGACAGTAGAGTCGAGTCAAGTTTTTGGCGCCGTTGCCGGGGACGGCTAGGTTGTTGAAGAAAAGTGATTTCTGTTAATTTGGCTTTTCTTTTTGCTTTGTTTGCTTTGTCCCACTTGTGCCTTCACGGGTTTGTCTGCTTGAGTGTGTGCAGGTAGTGCATGACCCGTAGCCAGTTGGGAGGTTTACTGCCGTTGAATCCAGAGATTGACCGCACCTGTCGCCAGCTCAGGAGACAACAACGAGCTAGACTGGCTACGGAAGAGCGCATAGACGGCCACGTGAGCAGTGATTCTGAAGAAGAGCACAGGATAGACGGAGAGTATAATCCGCACCAGGGGAATCCACAGCAGGTTCCCCCGGCGAATCAGGTCCTGGGGAACAACCCCATGCCCCAGGATCATGGAGTTCATCATCCACCGCAGCCGGGCCCCACCTTGGAGTACTACTACACTCCTCGGATTGCTGACATCCGCCCGGTCATCCTCTACCCACCGATCCCAGCAAACAACTTTGAATTTCATTCTTATTAGTTTTTCAATATGACAAAAATGAAAAGGTCCTCTTATTTAAAACCCTAATTATGAAATCCCTTCTCTCCCACTTCACACCGCGGAACGCACCGTTCTTATAGAGAGAGAGGCGCTTTTGCATCTTCTTAACCCGAAATGGCTGGGGAGAGGAAAGGTTAATATATGCTACCACTTACATATTTTTTTTACTTTCACGCAATCTATTACCCAAGGTTGGATAACTATTTCCAAATTTCAGAACCGAATGATTCATACAACAATCAACTAATATTACGAATTAAAGTTAAAATCTAAGGTCATAAGAGATCGTTATTTTTACAGGTGGCAAGCGGCCAACTAGTGGTACTGGTTTAAGTTGCTTACTTGGGTGATGGTTGATCTTGTTACGAGGTTCAAGTCTACGTACATACACTTTTGTTCCTGATTTGGCTCGATATTATTAAAATCAAAACAGGTAGTCACTGGCACAAGTGTTGGGATACTATTCTAGTGGTTTAAATCCCTGGCTATGTTAACGATTAATTAACAATCGTGGTACGAACCTGACGAGGTACGTTCAAACTTTCATACATATATTCTTTTTGGCAAAACCTGGGCCTTTATACGTGCGGGCTTAACATACAAAAAGAAACCCAACTGCACACATTCTATTTGGTGAAACTCGGGCCTTTATATGTGCAGGCTTCACTTACAAAAAGAAACCCCACTAGCCAAGCAAGATCACGAAGCCCATAAACATAACTACATGGGTCAGTCGATAACTTTTCGATCAAACACCCCTTTGCCCTTCTTCAACCCCATTATACTTCTGTTCTTGTTGGTACGTCGAGCGCGAGACGTTTTACCTTCTTCCTTCGACAATTCAGCAAGCCCAGTACCTGCAAACACCCGTTCTGGGTTCTGCCCAAGAACAAGTGAGAGATAGTAGCAAATGCTGTGTTTGATCGAAAGCAATCGTGGTGAAATTGGCTCCTCGTGTTTGGCTGGGGCCCGAGAGACAGATTCACTTGAAATGGGCTTTATGTTTTAAGCCTGTAAGATTTCCCTTCCTTTTATTTCAAGACCACAAAGTTGTATATTCATTCTCCTAGCCCACTTGAGTCTCCACTTACCTTCGCTGAAACTCACCGTTTCATTAACAATATCACCCAACAGTTTGCTTCGTCCTTAGGATCAAATAGATGGCCTGCAATTGAAAGCCAAGAACGAACCAAGAACGAAGTACTTATAAACCCAGAAAATAAAACTGAATTAAATCAAACCCAGTTGGTGAGAGCTCGTTCTAGCACTTCACTTTAAATCAATAAACAGGACATTCCTCCCTTGATCGGCGGCTTCACCAGATTTGATTAGGAGGAGGAGGGATTTCGAGCTGCCATCTCCAGATTCCGCCTCCTGAATCACCCTCCTCGACTATCAACCTTGTGCTCTTCTCTCCAAACTTCGATACGGCGGTAGCTGGGTTTGTAGTCTCTATCCAGAATCCAGATCTACGCCGTTGGTTTTTTCCTCCTCGAAAGATGCTCTGTTGCTGGTTGGTGGCCGATGGTTTGATTGAAGGGGGCAGGTTGGAGAAACGCTGGATTGGATTGAAGGGGAGTCAGGGTCGGATATGAGGTCAAGAAAGTAGCGAAATCGCGGAAAGGATCGAGATGACTCGAACAATTGAAGAGAAAGTTACAATTTCTGGGAACGAATCAAGAACGAAATTTTTTTTCCTCTGATTCCATGTTGAGCATCGTCGCCTGCCACAGTGCCACTGGGATACTATTGACGGTGGAAGCGGGGAAAAGAAACGGCGAAGAGAAAGGGTTAATGTTAGGGGTTTAGTTGCAATTATAAATAACTATAAATTCCTTAATAAATATAAAATATTTTTTTAGTTAATAGTTAATTAGAAATTTATCAATTATTCTCAACCGCTAGATATATTGAACGGTGCGGATTAAACCAAAAAGTGGGTGCGTTCAGTGCACCCAAAAAAGTGGGTGCACCGAAGACGTCGCCATATATATATATATACATACATTTAGAGCACGAATTAATGTCGAGTTTTACTATTTAGAGAACGAATTAACCTTAGTTTGCGGCATGATACTATACTCTAACCTCTAATGGGTGAACCCCCATTCCGAATTCTCTAACCCAAGCCACAAGGTTCATTTAATGTAAAAAAATAATAACCGACGGTTCTGACTCATCGAAATATATTGAAGAGCAAAAACCAAGTGGGAACACACGCGTATAGTGTATGCTAGCCTTTGCCATATAATATATATAATTGTCAAAACGAACAATATCTTAATAAAATAAAATAAAAGCTTTGCATGTTACACTTACACATACAATTGTCACCTTTGAGTTCAATTTTTTTTTTCTTTATTATGATCATGAGTATCAATAAAGGAAAAGTTGAGAGTGGTGGACCGATTTTGATTTGTGAGTGATTGGCCACCATATAAATCTATGTAGTTAACTCATTAATAAAAACCAAGTTGTTCGCGTCAAAACCATAATAATTAACATGAAAACAACTAATTAATATTTAAATTTAAATTAAGGAAAAATATTAAATAAAATAGTATGTTAGATAAAAGGCTTTATGGCTTTGAAGATTGACATGGAAAACCCCTATGATAGAGTCGAGTGGCCTTTCTTACTAGCTATTTTGAGAAATTTGGGTTTTGCTTCCCAGTCGATAGACTGGATCTGGGAGTGTATTTTGACGACTTCTTTTTCGGTGATGATGAATGGTAAACCGTCGGGGTATTTTAAACCGTACGTAGGTTACGACAGGGGGATCCCTTATCTCCTTTGCTCTTTGCGATATGTACGGAGGGGTTTGCTCTACTATCATTCAGAAGGAAATAGCAGCTGGTAGGCTGAAAGGAATTAAGGTTGCTCCGTGATGCTCGAAGGTGTCACATTGGTTTTTTTTGTAGATGATTCTTATCTGTTCTTGCGTGGAACTTTGGGTGAATGTGATAATCTACTTCAGGCCCTGAAGGAATATGAGTTGCTTAGTGGGCAATGTATCAATCTGGATTAATTTGCGGTTTGTTTTAGTATGAATTTAGATAGGGTGGATTGTTGGCTATGGGTGAACGCCTCGGTATTGGTGCAATTGGAGTTAGGACAAGTACTTAGGTTTGTCCACTCTCTTAGCTCGCTCTAAGTCTAAGATGGACACATTCCGATTTCTGGAGGAGAAACTATCAGAAAATTGAAGGGATGGAAAAAGCGTCATCTTTCATGGGCATCTAAGGTAACATTGTTAAACTCGGTCGTTTCGGTGGTGCTAGTGCATGTGATGGCTTGCTTCCTATTGCCGCATTCATTATGCAGGAAACTTGATAAGTACATGGCCAGGTTCTGGTGGGGGTAATGGAGGTAGATAGGCATCGTGGAGCTCGTTATGTAGGATTAAGGATGAGGGGGTTTAGGTTTTCGCCGATTTGAACTGTTTAACCAGGCTCTCCTTGTCAAGGTTGGCTGGCGTATATTGGAGGATCCTGACTCGCTGTTAGCCCCGATTTATAAAGAAACTATTTCTCTCAAGAATCATTACTACAGGCTAGGTTGCGATCGCGTCCACCATGGGGTTTGCATAGTGTGATTCATGAGAGATCTCTATTGGTCGTAGGGTTGCAGTGGCAGGTGGGAGATGGGGAGAGCAGTTCGGCTCTGTCTAAGAGCTGGGTGCCTAAAATTTATCCCAATCCCCGTAATCCTTGGGTGGATCCTTGTTGGTGGGGAGACAGTGACAAATTTCATTAATGAGGACCGCAAGTAGTGTGGGGAGTGTTTGGGGAGCAGCTTCTCCCTGGGGAGTATTCAGGCTATCTTGGCTATACCATTGCCTCTGGTGGAATTTCAGGATCGACAAATCTATATTCTGTAAAGACAGGATATCACCTAGCAATGAGGTTATATAGGGCGAGTTCGACGTGAAAGGAGGAAGTGTCTATTCAGGATGCTAGATTTTGGAAAATGATTTGGAATTTCCATATACCTCCTAAATTAAAGTTCTTTGTGTGGCAACTCCTACGGCGTATGCTACCTTTGACGAGGTCTTAAGAGTTAATGAATGCTTAGTATTGCCAGTGAGGGAGCTTCCTGCGATGGGTGTAAATGGTGGTATGGCAGGTGGGGGAGCTCGGCGGCATGGAGGGTTGGCAGATCACCCTCCATGGGTATGTGATGTGGATGGGGCGATTGCTGCTGGCTCTCATGCTGCAGTGACCTTGGTCTTATTTGATGCTACAAGGGAGGTGGTTATGGCGACAGGGCATCAATATCTGGGGATCCATGAACCTTTTTTGGTAGAGCTGTTGGCGGTACGAGATGTGTTTCGCTGGTGTAGTCAGATGGGTTTCCAAGATGTGGTGATTCAAGGGGATGCTAAAGTTTTTATTTAGAAGATAAACGACACTGAAACAAAGGATCGGTGGGGTGGTGCTATACTTTAGAAAGTGGGAGAGTTGGCTAAGGCGCACCCGAATTTGGATTTTTGTTTTGTAGGTAGGGATCGCAATGGGGTAGCCCATTTGGTGGCTAAGAAGACCCTTTCTTTGTGCCCTGCGTTGTTGGGTGTGTTTGATTTTCATATTTGGCTTAGGTTTGTTATGTAAAGACTTATATCAGGTTGATCTTGGTTATACAATGAGCTTATGACAAAAAAAGGTTAAGGGATATCAATTAATTTACACCAAAGAAAAAATACGATTTAATTTTAATTATTAGAATTAGCTGATACCTGAGAATATTTTTATGAAATATAATTGAAATTTGATTATAAAGTATTATACTATTTATAGCTTATGTATATGAGTCTTTTGTCCAAATTTCTATTAGATTAAAACAAATCTTCAATAGGGATCGGAGTAGTCAAAATTTCAATTTAAATAATAAAATCTTACGATTTTATGATTTATTCCGATCATGATATCACTGGGGAATCTATAAATCATAAAATCCTACATTATTCACGATTTAAATCACTCAAATCATTAAAATCTTACGATTTTCAAAAATATGAACAATTTTAAGGTCATGTTGAATTGATTGAAGTTGGACATAATAGAACCAAGTTAAATGGAAAAGATTAAATCAGTTAAAACCTTTTTCCTTCTCCTCCATCTAACATTGTCTAGTTCTCTCTCACTATTAAATTAAAGACTCATTTGCCACCATGCAAGAAAATGCCAAACCCTATATTCTATTAAAGATGAAAAATTTTAAGATTGAACTATAATAAGGAAAATACTAGCTAGGACACCACACACAATAACTAATAACCCATAATAATTTATATTCTCCAATTACTTGTAAGTAATAATCTTCCTATAACGCCTTTGTTGTTGTCAGTAACTACTCCATAAGTTTAGATGCAATTTAGTTGGGTTGCATTTGTGTTGAATTGAAACAATAATCTTGAGAAATTATCATTTTAAGTTTTATGAGTCTTTGTGTTATTTATGATTTGCCTTATTAATTTATTGGGTGTTTGTTTCTATATGGATCTTAAAATATTACGATTTTACGATTCCGATTTTACCCAATTTGCGTAAATTTTTCATTGTGAGTGCTTTCGTCGGGAGTATATTTTGTGGGGGAATTCGGGGAACAAAATCATTTTATGTAACAAATTCAAAAATAACTTTTTTGTGTCTATGTGGAAGGAATTAAAATGAATACATACAAATACCTTTTAATGCAATCATTAACGCACAAAGTATGGTTTTTCGTATGTATCCACCTAAGAAAGCCTCATATTACAATGAGATTATAAATTTCTATATTCGTCTCATTAGAATTAGATTCTCTTTACCTTTTCAATCATTCCTACATTATTATAGTATGAAATTTAGAAAACCAAATTTGAAATTCAATTTCCAAATTTATTAATTTTTAGCACTAAGGAGCCTGTTTGAGATAACAATAAAAATCTTTAATAAAAGTTTTCAATTTTCCATAAAAGGAAAAGAGTAGTTAAAAAGTATTTAAGAGGGGAAAAAAGGAAGAAAGAGGAGGAATGAAGCTCACCTGGATGTTAATAACAAGCAAGACTATAGCTGATGCCCCAAACACTATCCTCAAATACCACCAATTAAAGAATGAACTCTTGGCCGCCTTTTCCTTCGGCTTCTCTTCGTCGAACTGATCGGCGACAAAGGTTTGGACGCAAGGCTTGTGCCCTCTTTCTCCCACCGCCATCACATATAACGCTGTGAAGAACACTGCCTCCCTGTGACGCCCACTGACACTGACAGCGCCAACAATACCATCCCCTGCTTTTCAGCAAACATTTCAACATTAATTGCCCAAAGAGTTGACCGTAACTGTCGCAAAACTACATTAATGAATGACCATTTTTCTCCCACTCTTTGATATGTATATATGTCACATCAGTTTGTTCCCTGGTTAACTAGGTGTGTCATACTTGAACATATAACAAAGGAAGGTAAAATGAGGAGATCATGTTTCTACGTGTTTGTCATCGTCTTGCTTGAAAATATCTTACTGATGAAACTACACCACCGGACGAAAAAACTAAAACCATTTTCAAATTAGTACTAATTAACCAATACTTACGATGAAGTAGACGACGGAGGCAATGAGAATGGTGGTGAATCTGCCTAGGTAGGAGTCGGCTACCAGAGCGCCCAGCACCGGGAAAATGGAGGAGACGCCAACCCATGTATTGACGTTCTTTGCAGCAGTGGCGAGGGGATGGTGGAGGTGGTCCGTGAGGTAAGTGATTAGGTTCCCCGACAATCCGTAGAATGCAAATCGCTCCGCCATCTCCACAACTGTAGAGGAATTTCATTTGCCCCCAAAAGTTTCAAAGGAAAAAATAAACAGAGCACAGGAAATAGAGGACACAGACTATGTAGATGAATTAAACTTACAGTTAATGAAGAGGGCGACATTCCAGCCGCCTTTCGTACGTGCACGTTGCTGCAGCCTCTTCTGATCTCGGGCGTGAGGGTTGTCGCTACTGTTGTCAACCGACCCTGCTGGAGCAATTGCGGAATCCATCTTAAAGAATAAGAACAATATAATATGACCGTAGAGAAAAAGTGGAGTGTATCCTTTTTCTTTCTAAGGTGCAAATTCCCTTGCCCTCACCCACCTAGTCCTTTTATATTGGTAGGAAAATTTACCGTAGTGATAGTGAAGTATGAGTGTATGACAGTTGTTTTCGAGCAATTTTTACAATAGTATGGCACACTATGATTGGTCTATTCCTAATTAATAAATTTCCTTTAAATAATATTTTGAAATAATAAAAAATGGAAAGAAGTGTACTTTAGGCAACAAAATTGTCATGGAATGGAAGCCCTTTATATAAACCCAACTAGTTTGACTTTCTTGTATTGCATACTCGAGCATGATATAAATTAGGTTTGAGTAGTCTATTAAAAGACCCTGTGAAATACGACGATGAATAGCACTAAAGGGCTTATTTGGTATTTTTAAAAAATTAAATCTAATAAAAAAATTAAATTTAAAATATATATCTCATCTTTTTAATACAGATTTCCACCATGGAAAGTTACTAATGAAAATTTACTACTACTTATATTAGTAGTGATTTTATATTTTTTAAGAGTTTAAAATACTATTAGTAATGATTTCAAAATTCTGAATTAGAAATAATTGATCAATTTTAATATGAATCACTAAGACACTAACATTGCTTACAATTTACAAATGAAAAAAGCTACTAACAAAGGGAAAAATACAATATCACTACTACACAATCGCTACTAAAAAACACTACTAACAACAAATCACAGAAAAGAAAACACTACTAACATTAGTATACATAAAGCAAACAATACTCGATTTTACCAGTGCTCGCGATCACCTGAAATAGGCACAAATCATTAATAGCACCCCAAGAATCACTATTCAGATCTGTCCCCACAATCCATGGGACTCATGGACCGCCCCTGATCCGTCGTTCTAATACGAAGAACTGACCCCAAAATTTGCAAGGCGGAGCAGAGGACGGCATTGCAGCGAGGAACCACAGAAGAGAGAGGGAGGCGTTGGTTGTGGTGGCACCAAAAAGTGTTCCACGCATGAGAAGCGAAGCAACCTGTCGCTTGCTCCCAATTGATGTGATCTTCTCCGACGGGAAGCTTTCTCAACTAGCGACCGCCGCCGATTTGTCGGCTCTCTCTGACAGGCGCTGCCGCCAATGCTGTCGACGAGGAAAAATTGAGACATCCTCAGCCACAAACCCAACGACCGCTTCTCCTTTCATTTTTCTCTCTTGCAGTAGCAATCCGACCTCCATTCTATATCTGAAACTTTAAGAGTAGCAGGAGAAGTTTTCGTAGCGGAGGAAGTTGTGACAAAGAGTTTGAGGAGAGAGGGGACCGAATGGGGTATTTTTATAACTAGGGTTTGGAGAATTTTATTATATAATTGACAAAAATAACCTCCAATGAATTATAAGGCTGTAAAAATGGTTAGTGTGGTGCTAACCCCTAGAGGGGTTAGCAACTAATCATATTCCATCATAGGATCCTTTGTGGTTGTCAAGAAAGTCATAGTTGACTGCATGTTCAAGACTATTGTGGTCGTTTGCAAGAAGGTGCGCGTGAGGAATGGTGGAATGTGCTGCAACACGACGACGATTGTTAAACATGTACATTGCTTCTTTGCTGAAGGCCGCCCGATTACTACCGACTTCGAGAGTGAAACTAGGAAAGAGGAGGGTGAGGGCAGTGTCACGGACATAGACTTCCGAAGTCCGTGCGGCGTCTTGAGGTGCACTCATTCCTCAAGACTAGCCTCTCTGCATACGCATGCCAACTGGTTTCGCCCTGCCTTGGGCTCATCAGGGAGACGGCAATAGCCTCCGACCAGTTGTGCCTTCTCTTGCAACGATACCCTTCATAGCCACATCCTGACTCGGCTAGAAACGATGCACAGGCAAACAACGCCTTATCGCTAATGCCTCCCCCTTTACCCTTCTCATGCAAGACAACCAGATGGCAACGTTCTTCAGACGATCGACACGGTCACGACATTTCGGGTCGTGACATTCTCCACCACTCATAATGCAACACGTCCTCGTGCAGGTGAAGAATGCTTCTCTCCACAGCATGCATTGCAGCTCTCGAACCGATTGTAGGCGTTCGCATACGATACCATCCTCTGATGGACAAGCTCCGGTCGCGTCCTCGCGCTAGCCTGTTGTGCCCCACGCACATACCGCTTCGCCCCTCGACATCAACCTTCACTCTTTGCTTCTGCTGCACTAGTACCTCAGTCGACCTTCACCTTATGCTACTCCCAGCATTTGTACCTCAATCGACCTTCACCCTACGTTCTCGCTAGCGTTAGTTCCTCGGTTGAACGACATTCTCGGCCGCTGCATCTTCATCTTGTCGAGGTCCACCACAACGACGCATCACATGTGTATCTGCTTCCAGACCGCCTGATATGCTCACCCAGGACCGCCTCTCATTCGGGCATAGGGTCTGCCCATACACGACCTATGCCGTACTGAGAGAGGAACTAGGCTTTTCAGCCTAACCAAGCTCTGATACCACTTGTCACGGACATAGACTTCCGTAGTCCGTGCGGCGTCTTGAGGTGCACTCATTCCTCAAGACTAGCCTCTTTGCATACGCATGCCAACTGGTTTCGCCTTTCCTTGGGCTCATCAGGGAGATGGAAATAGCCTCCGACCAGTTGTGCCTTCTGTTGCAACGATCCCCTTCATAGCCACATCCTGACTCGGCCAGAAACGATGCACAGGCAGACAACGCCTTATCGCTAATGCCGCCCCCTTTACCCTTCTCTTGGCAAGACAACCAGATGGCAGCGTTCTTCAGACGATCCGCACGGTCTTGACATTTTGGGTCGTGACAGCAGCAGCAAAGCGAGTCAATTTGCACAATAGCTCTCATTTTTTGTCGCGTGATCGCTTGTATTTCTTGTTTTTTTTATTAATAAGCCATTTTATTCACGAAGTAAGAGTGACAAAGTGCCACTCATACTGAAACCCAGTCTACATTCTCAAAAGAAACACCTTACAACAGCAGGCCTGAACAAGACCTCTACTCACAGCAAGCTATAAGCTTCGCTCTACAAACCAAAAATAGGTCTAAAAACCAATACTAGCTAATAAACTGTCCGAAATAACGCATGCAACAGCAAGGAAACTATGCTTAAGTAGCCTCAGGAGATCACTTATCCTTTTGACAAACTGCTCCTCTCTGAGAAGCTGTCCAACATAGAGGTGTCTACACCTTTCTCTCCACAATTCACTAATCACCATTGTCCAAATCAATCTTCCGGAGCTAGCTCTATCATTTGCTGCAGAATAGAGATTTGTAGCTTTCAGAAATGTTTCATTCGAGTCTCTCCCAATCAAGGAATGAGAACATGGAACTATCTTAAGTATCTTCCTTGAATAGCTGCACTCCACAAATAAGTGGTCTCTAGACTCAGGGGAGAATTGACAAAGGGGCAGATATTAATGACTAAGCTATTCCACTAATGAACCTTGTCCAGAGTTGCAATCCCGTTCTCAACAATCAACCAACCAGCAACTTGTCTCGAGGAGGACAAAGTGACTTCCATACCAGCTGATACCATGGAACTCTAGGAGCTTTCACCATTATTACTTCCCAAAACGCTTAACAGAAATTTTTTCCATTAGACTACCATTCCAGAAAACTCCAGAACTTCTGACTTGTAGATGTGCTTCTGCTGTGCTTCTGATCTTTAACACTTTACGCCAAGCCCAGGAATAGTTAATTGAGGATGGAATGGACCAGATGTTTGTATACGTCAGTTGGTAGTGCCTCCCCAGTTTGCCCAAAGTGATGAAGAGTTTGAGAGAATTGCCCACAAATCTCTAATTAAACATGTTTTATTCCAGCTCCTCAGATCCTTGAATCCCAAACCTCCTTCACCTTGTGGCAGAGCAACCTTTTCCCACCTCACTTTGGCTCTTTTCACTTCAGCCTCGGAAGCCCACATGAAATCCGAGCATGCTTTTTCAATATGCTTTATTACTTTCGATGGAAGTTGTATAATATTCATCCAACATTGGGTTATGCTAGCTATAACCGAGTTGACTAATTGTAACTTTCTAGCATGGGTTAATGTCTTGGAACCCCATCCTCTGATCCTTGCTGTTATCTTGTCTACTAAAGCCTTGCAGTCCATCGCATTGAGTTTCCCTGCTACCAGTGGAATCCCCAAATATCTCACAGGTAAGTTACCAATCTGAAAACCAGTATCTTCAGTGAGGAGCCTCTGAGTGCCAGCATCAATACCCATGCAAAAGATCTCACTTTTGGAGGGATTACACTTCAAACCAGATATCTCATAGAAAGCATCTAGTATTCTATTAGTCACTACCACTACTTCCCTAGTGCCTTTGGTAAAAATCAGCAAATCGTCTGCAAAACATAAGTGGGATAATTCTATCCTGTGAGTCTGAGGGCGAGGAGAGAAAGTCTTGATGGAAAACGCTCTATTGGGCATCCTGGACAGAACTTCCATAGAAATGGTGAAGAGATAGGGTGAAAGTGGGTCCCCTTGTCTCAACCCCTTCCTTGCTGGGAAATACCCACAAAGACTTTCATTAAAGCATACACTGAGTCTATTACTTTTGAGGCATTCCTTAATCCAATGAATAACCCGCTGAGGAAATCTCATGGCTGTTAAGACAGTAGCTAGAAAATTCCAGTCCACACTATCAAAAGCTTTCATCACATCCACCTTTAGAGCACATCTAGGCAAGATCTTCTTTCGATTATATAGTTTTAACATCTCATGTGCAAGTAAAATGTTATCATTGATTAAGCGGCCTTTAATAAAAGCATATTGGTTCAAACTAATAACAGTAGGTAGCACTTCCTTAACTCTATTAGCTAATACCTTTGATATGCATTTATATATGATGTTGCAGCAGGAGATAGGCCTGAACTGCTTCATATTATCAGCATTCAAAGACTTAGGTATTAGAGCTAAGTAAGTAGAATTTACCTCTATTAATAGTCGACTTGTTCTGAAAAATTCCTGGACAGCTTTGGTAACGTCTTCCCCCACAATATCCCAGTTGCACTGATAAAACCCAGCAGTGAACCCATCTAGCCCTGGAGACTTGTCATTCTTCATAGAGAACATAGCATTCTTCACTTCATCCCTAGAAATCGGAAGGCACAAAGAATCTACCAGCTCTGGAGAGAGCTTATGTTGCAGTAGTTGATCTATTAATCCCACATTCACCTACTTTACTTCGGAATTTATTGTACCTAGCAATTTTCCATAAAACTCAACAACCTCCTTGCTCATATCCTCAATATCAGTCAAAGTAGCCCCCTCTTCAGTTACTAGTTTTTTAATGGTGGAACGAGCCTGTCTAATCTTGAATGACATGTGAAAGCAGTTAGTGTTTCGGTCACCATTCTGAACCCACAACTACCTAAACTTCTGTCTATATAAAGACTCTCATCCCTGAGCAAAATGTACAACCGTAGCTGACATTTCTTAACCTCCTCAAAAGTAATGGGAGATGGGTGAAGCAAAGATTCCAGTTGCTTGTCTTTCTTGTTCCCTTGTTTTGGTGACCCTTTTTTCTTTTGTCGAGTGTAATTTACCAATGATAAGGCTATTTTCCCTTTTGTTTCTACAAGTTGTTGTGCATATTTATTTCTCTCTTTCAAACATGGATTTTTTGTGCTTTTATGATTTTGTGTGTTCATAATTTATTGCGTGTTGCTAATTTCGTAGGAATAGGCGTTAAGTGATTGCTGCTATATTAAATATTGTTAGGCGCACTAATGGCAGCCATGGTTACATAGGATGTTATGTTACTTCATGCAAATTTTCATTTGTGATGTGAACTAATGTCACACGTTAAGCGATGTGAACTAATATCACATGTTAAGTGCTATGAACTCATGTCACAAGTCTGCGGAATTTTTTCACCGTGTAGGCAATGATATTATACCCTAACCCTGGATGAGTGAACCCTAACTCATAATTATCTATATCATAGACCTTAAACACTAAAGTGTTGCATCTAATTTGTAGGGTGTATTTTGACTCATGACCGTCGATCATTGTTTCTATTTAAATTGACCTTAGTGTATTAGATTTATAGAATTGAGACATAGATTTTAATCTTTAAGGGTTTGGGTAGAGTTCGATCTCCCAAACTCCGGTCTATTCAAAGTCTAGATATTGTTTGATTACTCAGGGTATGCTGTACCTCGATCACTGATGATGGCCCCCGGGGTCCCAAATCTTGAAAACATTTTTTATAAAAAATCCGCAGGCCCGTCTTGCACCATCGGATTAGGCGGGGTTGGCATCGGCCTTGTTCATCAAAAAGTGAATGGAGGAGTGGTCAGTTTAGACAATAACCTTTGAAAGCACGAGGTAAGACCTGAACTTATGAAAAGCAAAGATTACTGCCAACAACTATTTTTCGGTAGTTGTATAATTCTCCTGAGCATCATTCAACGTCTTGGAAGCGTAGAAAATGGGTTGAAAATGTCTACCCTGCCTTTGTCTGAACACCGCTCCCACTGCATTGTCACTAGCATTATACATAAGCTCAAAAGGAAGGCTCCAATCCGGCGAGACCATTATGGGAGCATTCATGAGCTTCGCCTTGAGGATGTTAAACATTTCAAAACATTCCTTTGTGAAAAGTAAGGGAGCATCCTTCTCCATAAGTTTTTTCCAGTGGTAATGCAATCTTTGAGAAGTTCTCAATGAAGCGTCGGTAAAATCCCGCATGCCCCAGGAAACTCCGGATGCCATTGACCGTTGTTGGTGGAGGGAGCTTGCCTATTGTTTCAACCTTGGCTCGATCCACTTCAATTCCCATTTTTGAAATTTTGTGCCCCAACACAATGTCGTCTCTTACCATGAAATGTGACTTCTCCCAACTCAGCCAAATTGGTCTCTTCGCAACGCTCAAGGACCTTCTCTAGGTTGGAAAGACAGTGAGAAAATGATTCTCTGAAAACTGAGAAGTCGTCCATGAACACTTCCATTATCTCTCCCACAAGTTTATCGAAGATGGCCACCATGCATCTCTGGAATGTGGTTGGGGCATTGCACAATCCAAACGAAATGAGCCTATAAGCAAATGTCCCGAAAGGGCAGGTGAACTTTGTCTTAGCTTGATCTTCTGTGGCAATCTGGATCTGGAAATACTTTGACATCCCATCCAGGAAACAGTAGTAATCATGCCCATCGAGCCTCTCCAGAATCTGATCAATGAAGGGTAAAGGGAAATGATCTTTACGAGTGGCATCGTTCAATCGCCGGTAGTCAATGCATACCCGCCACCCGATCACCGTTTTTGTTGGTATAAGCTCTTCCTTTTCATTGGCTACCACCGTCATCCCTCCTTTCTTTGGGACTAACTGTGTTGGGCGCACCGATTGTGATACGATCCTGGAATCGATCAAATTCCATCCAGGATTGATCGTCAAAGACGCCAAGTCGAATTGCATGAAAGAAACAGAAAATTTTCTAAGTCAAATTTCGTGTTTAGGTAGCCGACTTTAGAGGCTGGGTTCTCACAACTAGCTTGATGAAAATTCAATATTAAGGGCTTGTATGAAATATGGAGTGTTTATCTACACATTGGTATGCGTGGTTTCTCAAGGAGAAGCAAGGAAGGTTATTTTCCAAGCTCACCAAAAGCCTAAGTCAAAACTGGAAAACTGTCTGAAAATGGCCAAGGCATAAAACTGTTTTGTGAAGCCTACTTTGGAGCTCAATTCGAGGAGCATGGGTATGATTCAAGTCCAAAGGCTTCCAAAAAATGAAACTAGGTATGTTTGTATACAAAGGGAAGGATTTGGATGAAAGATTGGAGTTCGGGAAGGCGTCCAACGAAAGGCACGAAATTAGTACAAAAATAGTTTTTCTGGCAGTTTGCTTGTGCTAAAAGGCAGGTTACTTGTGCTTGAAGACAGGAGAATTTTGGCCGAATTTTTTTTCTTTTAGGGTTTGTTTTTACCTTAATTGTTTCCTAGTTCTATTAGGTTTGTATTGTATTTAAATAGCTTTCAATTTCACATTGTAAAGGATCCAAGTTTTAGTTGAATGAAAAAATTACTCCTACGTGAGTTTTGAGTTCTTTGAGTTGTGTCTCAAGAATCAAATCCTTGAGTTAGTTTTGTGTGGATTCCATTACTAATTCGAGAATCCTTTTCAACCTTTTCTTTGAGGATTCCAGATTAGTTTAACAAGTTTCTTATCAATCAAGTAAACACATTGATTGTGGTGAAATTCTACCTTTCCATCATTATCGTTCAAGAGTTCGTTTGCTGCGTATTCTGGTAAAAACAAGCACCCCTGGTGCTTGTATCAAGTGGTATCAGAGCCTTAGGTTCAATTCAGTGGCGAGAAGGATTGATTGAGGCTGTGTTCGTTTAACTAAATCGCAAAAAAAAAAAATCAGAGGAAAGCAGAGTAACAATGGCGGCAGCAGAGTTAGCAAATTCCATGGTCTTCATGCGTTGTTTAATCGAGGAGCAGCTGTGTTTAGTTCTCGTGGATGGAGGCAGGGAGAGGAATTTTATTTCCTCTAGGGTCGTGAGCAAACTAGGGCTGCAAACACAGATACTTCCAAAGCCCTATGTTTTCAAATTACCATATAAAAATAGATTCGGCCTCGTAGTGTCTCAAGTGGCTGTGGAGTTTTCGATAGGCCAGTACCAGCATCACGTTATGTGTGACGTGGTTTAAATTTTAAATTTCCCCAGCAGGATCATTCTTGGTCAACCATGGTTCAGGAAACGTCAAGTTTGTTTTGAAAGCCGACGGAGCAAGAAGTTTCGAATTCAGAGACAAAACCAAGTATTCGTCATGACCCTGTTGGCTCCAAAAGAAGCTGCCAATGATTTGCAGGAGCTACAACGACTCCAGGAGGAGTATCAGAAGGATATACGAGAGAAACCATAGCCATGGAAGGTCGATCAAGCAAAGACCCAGCCAGAGCAAGACAACCCCTGTTTTTCACCGCAAAAAACAGAGCATCGACACCAGATTTACTGCCAACAAAGAGGAAGGGAAGTCGAAGCCTGAAGCGACCGGAGACGCGTCGGTGGAGGTGGAAGGAAGGATAGAGAAGCGAAAAGACGCCCCGGAGCAGGGTGCCGATGGATGAATCGTCTCGATGGCGAGCATAGCAAAGTTCCAATCCGCCCCGACGAAACAAGGCAAGAGAGAGACTGAATGGGGGGAAGCACTCCAGACCATTTCGATGGAGACCAACAACGTTGACACATTCGTTGAGAAGACGGAAATGTGTATTGACAGTATTAGGTTTTTACCTTTCTAGTTCTATTAGGTTTGTATTAGGTCTTTATTGTCTTTAAATAGCTTTCAATTTCAAGTTGTAAAGGACCCAAGTTTTAGTTGAATGAAAAAATTACTCCTACATGAGTTTTGAGTTCTTTGAGTTGTGTCTCAAGAATCAAATCCTTGAGTTAGTTTTGTGTGGATTCCATTACTAATTCGAGAACCCTTGTCAAGCTTTTCTGTGAGGATCCCAGATTCGTTTAACAAGTTTCTTATCAATCAAGTAAATATCTTGATTTTGGCAAAATTCTACCTTTCCATCATTATCCTTCAAGAGATTGTTTGCTGCGTATTCTGGTAAAAACAAGCACCCCTTGTGCTTGTATTACAGTGACTATCCGAGATTGGATAGATGATCCTGGCATGCAAGAGCTTGATTACTTCCGCCTTCACTGCCTCCTCCAGGTTAGGATTCACATGCCTTTGCGGTTATCGCACCGGATTGACACATTCCTCCAAAAGGATCTTGTACGAGAAAAAGGTTGGTCGGATCCCTCGAATATCTGTTATATTCCATGGAATGGCCCTCTCGTGACAACGCAAGACCACAATCAACTCAATCTTCTGCTCCAGTGTAAGATTGGAGTTGATGATGACTGGAAGTTTGCCATCATCCCTCAGGAAGGCATACTAAGATGGGGAGGCTGAGGCTTCAACTCCAACTCGGGTGGTTCCTCCAAGTAGGTAGGAATTTTAGGCATTGCGGGTAGGCTTCCACCACATGTTCTTGTGGAAGTTGGTCTTCTTCCTTCGGAGACTCTACAACGTTGATAGACCAATAATTACACATGTTTTTACCCCTATTCTTGAGCCGTTTGAGATGTTGATTCTCGTGTTTTAAGCCGATTTCACGCTAGGTTGTGCGTTTATGTCATATTTCAGGACTTAGCGTTGGCGTCGAGGCGAAGAAACGAGTTTTGGGTCGAAAGAAGCACGTGTGGAGTGAAGTGTGTTGGAGAAGCAAAATACCCGACCATGAGCAAAAATACCCGGCCGGGTATTATTTGGAGCAGACTGGGGATTTGTTGCTTCGGCATCTCTACGAAGCAGAAGGGGGTCCGGACAGAGAGCAGAAATCCCCGGTCGGGGATTCTTGGCATTGACTGGGGATTTTCCCCTGTCTTCAAACGCGGCGTTTTGAATATACCCGGTCGCTACCCAAAATACCCGACCGGGTATTCAGGTCGGGGATCGCGACAGACAACTTCTTAAGGAGAAAGAAGTCCAAAAGTGAAGGGCTCCTAGTTTTAGAGGAGCGATACCTAGAGAGAGAAAGTGACGAACCTGACTCTGCAAGTGTCATAGAACGATCTCCGTCACCATTGGATCCCGGCTTGAGCTTGGAGAAGACCTGATTGAGTGCCAGAAGCAGATTATCATCCTTCACAGTATGGTTTCCGCATCTGAGCTAGATTTTCCATCTCTCTCTATGGAGTAGTTTTCTTATTCACCTGGGTATGAAAAACCCTAGAATTTTATGTTAGGTCATATTGTATGAACCCAAGTACAAATTCAGTGATATGATTATGTTCAATTGAGGTTTGAATTGTTGAATGGCATGAATCCTGATCAAATTCCTGTTATTTCTGCTTTGACCTAGAAAGAGAATATCTGCCTAGGTTGACAGAGCACCCTTAATTGAAGGTAGTGAATTTGTGACTTTAGTCGAGGAGCCAATTCACTATTCTGCACCGAATTTGCTTCGGTAGTGGAGGTTTGGTTCGTTAGGGTCTCAATCTGTTTACTCAGGTGGAGGTTAGTCTCCCGCTGGGGTCTCAGATTGAGAGGGTCTGGAGACCTTTAGTCGAGACTTCAGACTGTTTAAGAACCTCCCGCAGTATAACTATCATTGAAATTGAACTTGGTAAATTACAATCCGGCTTAACTGCAGTCTAGGGGAAACCAGATCCGGGTGAACTCTCTCGACTTGAAAATAACCCTTTTAATTGCTTGCTTGTTTGGACCTGCATTAAAGTTTCACTGCTAAATAATAAGAACTCACGGAGTAGTCATCAAATCTAGGACCCGGGTTGACATTAAAACCCAAACCCGATATACTACACTTTAGGAAGTGGTTACACTTGGCCATTTTCTAGAGTGACGGTAGGAGCGAGTCAAACGTTCGTCCCTACTAAAAAACATTCTTCAGAAGGGTAAGCAACCGCGGACATGAGTGCCTCTATGAAATCAAAAACATCATCATAATAATCAACATCATCATGATGGTGAGTCAACTTCATGCTACCATCAATGGAAAAGGTAACCTCTTCCTCCCCTACCCTAAGCACTAACTTTCCCCTATGCACATCAATTAAGGCCTTGGCAGTATCTAAGAAAGGTCTACCCAGGATTAATGGGACATCAACGTTTTCATCAATGTCTAGAATGACGAAATTGGTCGGGTAAATGAGAGTCCCCACCTTGATAAGTAAGTCCTCAACAACACCCTTAGGTCGCAGGATAGACCAATCCGGCAACTGAATATTCATCCTGGTAGTTCTATGTTCACCTAGGTCTAGCTTTTGAAACAAATTATAAAGCATCAGATTTATACTTGCTCATATATCTGCCAAGAATATTCCTATGCACATGTTGCCAATAAAACAAGGGATAGTGAAACTCACTGGATCTTTGCGCTACATGGGCAGGTGGTTCTGCAGGATTTCTTATCACTTTTCATTCAAGGTCACTGTAGCCATCCCTTCCAGCTTCCTCTTGTTGGCGAGGAGGTCCTTCAAGTACTTTGCGTACTTGGGCATCTATGTAAGGGCCTCCACGAAGGGGATGTTGAGGTGCAACTGATTCATTAACTCTATGAAGTGGGCAAACTCTGCCACCATGCGGTCATTGCGGAGTCGAGAAGGGTAAGGAATAGCTAGAGGTACCTTTTCCCCCCTTTGCTCCGGTGGAGGAATCAAATCACTCTTCTCCCCTCCATTTGAACTTGTGCCCCTTATTGTTCAGGGTAACTACATGCTCCATCTTGCTTTTCTGTCACAGGTGGCTTCTTCCTCGGAGGTAGCTCCCTCTCTTCTCTCCCACTTCTAAAAGTAACTGCCTTTACTCCCGCTTATTCGAATTGCTTCTGGGACCGAGTTGTTTGCGAGATAATCCCCACACTTGTGGTTACGGTTGTCAAGAGTGATTGATGATTTTGCAACCACGCCTCCATGGTCGAGAACTTCTTGGTCTCCTCCTCTATGAATCGCTCAATTTTTTCAAACTTCTTAGAGCTGGAGTTGACAAAGGTGGTCTCTAACTCTTCCAAACAAGACATCCGGTTGGTTTGCACAGGGGAGATAGATTTCAACTTCTCGCCAACTCAGGAGACAACATCGAGCTAGACTGGCTACGGAGGAGCGCATAGACGGCCACTTGAGCAGCGATTCTGAGGAAGAGCACGAGATGGAAGGCGAACACCACGCACCCCAGGGGAATCCTCTCCAGGTTCCCCCGGTGAATCAGATCTTGGGGAACAACCCCATACCCCACGCAGATGGGGTTCATCATCAACCACCGCCGCAGGGTCCCACCTTGGAGTACTACTACACTCCACGGGTTGCAGATATCCGCCTTGTCATCCTCTATCCGCCAATTCCAGCAAAAAATTTCGAGATCAAGCCATGCTGGATTCAACTCATTACAACCTCTATCCAGTTTCATGGCTTGAAGGATGAGGAGGCAAGGGTGCACCTTTCCCGTTTCCTGCAGTTGACGAACGGGTTCAAATTGAACAGTGTCCCTGATGATGTAATCCGCCTTCACCTCTTTCCCCATTCTCTGGAGGGGCATGCTAAGAGATGGTTGGAGACCCAGCCCCCATTGTCCATCACTTCCTGGGACGATCTGACCAACAAGTTCGTGCATAGGTACTATCCGACATCGAAGACTATAGAGATTCAGCGGGAGATCACCCACTTCTGCCAAGAGCCAGACGAGTCACTTCGTGATGCATGGGAGCGATACAAGGGATTTTTCTGGCAGTGTCCCCATCATGGCTTCAGTGATGCATTCACAATGGGGAACTTCTACAGTGCTCTCTCTCCGGAAAGCCAGAGGGTGATTGAGTCTCTATGCCCAGGAGGGGATATTCTTACTAAGACTCCACCCGAACTGAACCAGATGATCAATACATTGCCTGCCAGAGATGATTCCTAGGGGCAGAGCAGCAGATGCAAGAATTCCCGGGACCGTGGTGTGCACGCCATGGAGGCCAGGTCTGGGCTCGAGCAGCAGGTGGCTGAGTTAGTGCAGACATTGAAGCAGCCCAATAGTCTTATTCCGGGCAGAGGTCTAGGCGGACCTCCAGTAGCTCAATGTCAGTGGTGTGAGAGCTCGCATCATCTAGTGGAAGACTGCCAGGATATGCGGGAGTTATCTACACCACAAGAGTAGTTGGACTTCATCGCCAATGCTCGGCGCCTCGATCCATACAGTAACACATACAATGAGGGGTGGAGCCAGCATCCCAACTTCTCTTGGAATGGCAACACCACCAAACCACCTGGTTTCCCAGCACCAGCATGTGGTTTTCAGCAGAGGCAGCCTTTCCAGGCTAGACAGGGGCCAGTCCCTTAGCAGCAGCCTTACCAACCGAGGCAGGGGCAACCATTTCAGCAGCCCCAACGTTAGTATGCCGAGCCAGCAGCAGCTCCAGCTCACGATAATCAGATGACCATGTTGAAGAACATTTTGGCGGCATTCATGACTACCAGCCAGGCAAATTTTACCAGGATTGACCAAAGCATCGCCTTGCTGGAGACGGGTCAGAGGAATCAAGGTGCCATACTGCAGGACCTCCAGCATCAGCTTGGAGGAATAGCTCGTCAGAACAATACCCGGGCACCGGGAACTCTACCTGCGACTACCATCCCCAATCCACGGGAGCCGCACTAGCAGCTGAATGCCATCACCACCAGGAGTGGCAAGTCTACATCGGCGGTACCTACCCAGGCTAGGGAGGAAGAGCCACTGCCTGCTTCAGCACTTCCAGCCGACGATGCAGAAGGGAGAGTGGAGAAGGAAGCCCCCGCTCCCAAGCCACAACCAGTGGTTAAAGAGCATGTACCCCAGCTTCCCTTCCCCACTCGACTACACAAAGATAAGATGGAGACTGAGTTTGCCAAGTTCATGGCAATGTTGAAGCAGCTCGATGTCAGCATACCTTTCATGGAGGCACTGTTGAAGATGCCCAAGTACGCCAAGTTCATGAAGGATCTCCTCAGCAACAAGAAGAAACTTG